AGATTGGTACACACTAATTTCATAAACCTTTCAGGTTTTCTCTTGTCTGCAATGGGCATCGCCATACCGAACCAGCTCACTAAAAGACTAGACTATCCAAATTATGAAGTGAGGTCACTGTTACACATTTTCAGTGCATTTGTAGAGAAATGAACCTACTCATTTCTGTATGCCACAAAGGACCTTGAGGCAAATTAATGAGCACAATGCATGCTTCACAACACAATTTCTGTTTAAAACTGTGAAAAACTACTGGAGTTTGATGACATGTAATCTGTTCAAGTCTATTAACAATGACCACAGATAATATAATCTAGAAACAAAGTCATCATAAGTCCATCAAAAGCCAACCATACATCCATCATCCAGTTTCATGTCTCCCCATATAGTGACCAAGGCACTTGTCTTATTGTTTAACCTTTATTATGGACGAACTTCAGTTTGACTTATGATTCACTAGATCAGAAGTCTGATGTAACCTACAAAAAATATTTCAAATATACGCATACCAAATAGTACTTTCCCTCCTTTTGGGAGGGTTATTAAGTGCATTAAAACAACCTGTTACGAGCTGTGACCTCTTTATTATTATGCTGATTGTTATACCAAGGTCATAGATAGGGAATGCTACAAGTGCTCGTAAAGCATTGATGTGTCACGTTTACTAGCAATGTTGCTGGGCCACGAAAAATGATGGATAACGGTGATCCTTCCCACAGTTGATGTGTTGTGTCTGCTGCGTTGCGAACCTTGGGTGCGCGGGTGGAGCTCACGGTCTCCATGGGTTTTGTACATCCTCAGAAGCAAATGGCACCCTCAGCTTCTCCTGGAGTGCCATTTGCCCCCTCGGGTGTAAAAAATACCATGGACCCCTACATTGTAGTCAACAATTGTTTAATGCCACCCCAGGGAGAAAACCCCACTGTTGCATTTATGTGCATATAACCACTGCTTTAATTTTTGACATTGGCTGAAACACTTTTGATCGAGTACGCAGCAATAAGCCAATCAGCAACCGTTTCTCAGAAATATTTTCAGTGAGCAAAGTTTTGGTTCATAAGTTGAAAAGAAGAACCTATGTATTGATATGAGCAGTTCTCTGACTGATATCACAGCAAGGGCACCTTCTGTTGTCCGGAAGAGCATAGAAAATTTAAATGTTGAAAAGGGTGGGGGTTTTTAACGCATGTAATCCAAAAACGATGTCACAACTGTCTCCATACACCAGCACAGGGCATAAAGTTCTACAAGTATGCTTAGGAAAACTTCACCACTTGAACACTTTAATCAGAAGTTCAGAAAAAAGTCATAGAGTTTTCTGGAGCAGTTTGCACAGTTGTGCAACTCTGCGGAAAATATGCATTGTGTGGTGCATAAAAGACCACATCACACCGCATACCTTCCAGAACGTAAACAGAAGTATACAAACACAGAACCGGGCAAACAACTTCATATGTCACCTTAGCCAATATCATTTTTCTTGTGCACTCTTTGGCGAGACAGGGGTCAGATTAAGGGAGTTTGTTCTGCAAAAGGTTGGGGGAAAATTGATGTAAAAACTCTGCCAAAATCTTGTAAGAAGATGAATTAAGGCCTTGAATCATCAAATGGACATGAATGATTGTCTCATTGTAATTTGATGACCATAATCCACTAATGTCAGAAATGGCTGTTGACCAATTGTTACAAACTGTGCTGAAGTAAGCTGTAGAGATTTGTGGCAACACCTGCTGTCTCCTGATGATGGACAAAGCCTACTGTCTGAAATGTTGAGTACCCTCCCATTTTTTTCAGAGCCACACATATAATACTCATTAAAGAGAAATATCATTGCATGCAAACTTCTACAAATAGCTTGCTACCTTCACCATGAAAAACTTCAAAGCTCAAACTGTTCTAAACTTCTCAAAAACTCGTATCTCATCAAAGGCTGCTTAAATATTAGGCTTGAATTAAACACTGGGGTTATGTCCGCTCCAGTTATGTCCGCTGAATTGAAAACAACTCACCTGATGCAATTCCAACTTCAATGCAATGCCAATGCAATTCCAATTTCACTGCAATTCCATAGTTCATTGCAATTCCAGTTTCAACAAAATCCCAATTTCATTGCAATTCCAATTTCACTGCAATTCCATAATTCATTGCAATTCCAATGTCAATGCCATTCCAATTTCAATCCAATTCCAATTTCATTGCAATTCCAATTTCATTGCAATTCCAAGTTCACTTCAATTCCATAGTTCATTGCATTTCCAGTTTCAATGCAATTCCAGTTTCATTGCAATTCCACTTTCACTGCAATTCCATAGTTTATTGCAATTCCAATTTCAATGCAATTCCAATTTCATTGCAATTCCAATTTCACTTCAATTCCATAGTTCATTGCAATTCCAGTTTCAACGAAATCCCAATTTCATTACAATTTCAATTTCACTGCAATTCCATAGTTCATTGCAATTTCAATGCAATGCAATTTCAATGCATTTCCATTTTCAGATTGACTGAATCTGGGAAAAAAGTGAGCAAATGTGTTCTTGCCCCCAAACTCTAACTCTAAGTCAATTCTACAGAAACATGTATTGTAGAGGTCTTTACAATTTCAAGCAAACCACTGTATTGTTGCTTACCTTGTGTATAATTGCCTCTATGCCCTCGTACCGAGACACCGAACACTGTGAGATGAACAAATGTTGAAGGTCATACACAGGGAGCCGCTATGAAAAGAAAAACAAAATTTGAAAACAGTGACTTAAAAACTTGACCAGCGTCACACACCTTGATGCATGTGGAAGCAATATAACATGTCTATGCCGTTAAGTTCATGTCCACTGGAAGTATGGAAATCTTTTTCCTTACAATAAATAATTATCATTTTCCTGTTTTCAAAATTCTTCAAAAATTCATCATTTCATTTAACAGATGTTTACTGCTGCACGAAGTAATCTTTAGGCACTACTCTAAGTTGACAGGTGACCTTCATTGACGCCCGAGTATTTCAGCCAGGCCTGCAGCCTTGAGCCCAGAGCCCAGATTGTGCGGTGTTATCTAACTTTCTTTTGTTCATGAACCTGCCACAGTGTGCTGCTGACCGCTTTTCAATAGGGGCCAGATTAGTGTGCAGGGGTACAGTGAGGCTCATCACTGCGGTGGTGGAGCGCTTTTGTCCCCGGTGGTAATCCACTCGCTCTAAATGCCCCGAACCCTGGTATACAATTTCAAAACAAGGCTGGATTATCTCCAAAGGGACACAGCACAGGCAAGTGAGTGCAAGAACCATTAGGAATTGTCTCCGGACTGACGGAATCAGGCCATTTCCACTGCACATGGGCTCAGCGCTGACACGCCAACATCACCAGGCTTGGGTCCAGTGGTGCAAAGCACACCGACGCTGGACATTGCAGAAATGGTCGCAGGTGGTCTTCAGTGACAAGAAGAGGTTCCTGTGCTTCAGGGCCAATGGCACGGAGTGGGTGTACAGGAGACGCCACGACCGGTACGCTGATGCTTGTGTTTGCCAAGTCAACTACTGAGTGGCTGGCCCAAGTGTGATGGTTTGGGCTGACATATCGTCAGTGATGAAACTCAAAATTTCCCAAATATCCTAAAATCCTAAAAACCATGAAATATCATGGTGGTTGTAATAATGCAAGCGCAAAGCTCCTACGGCATGGGGTCCGGGGCCTGCTTACGGGCCCCAGCAAATTTCGGGTTCTAGATGCTCTATGGTGCAATCTGAGGCATCTTCTGGCACATTTTCTCCTGTTTACAGCATGAGATTAAGGTGAGATTTGTACAAAACTGAACTATTGGCATCTCTGTAGACAGGGTCAGAAAATACACCAAATATATGTACATGTAGAAGGAAACTGTGCCACTTTAAAACCTAATTAATGTAACTAAAGGCTAGCAGGTTTCTTTGACTTGGCATGGTTTTTCAAGTCCTTCTTACCGGAAGAGCTGTACTTGAGTCTGTCATTGCACCAAGAATAAATTGCATATCCCGGCTGGTCTAATTTCCGGACGTAATCTGACAAAAAATCTCTGTTGCAATCCTTCTCCTCCAACCATTTCCAACTAACAACATTTCTGATACTTTTGTCGATGTCCTTTAAATTGTGTGACCGACCTACCACTTTGTACATGTTGCCGATTGTTGGATGAAAAGCGTATTATTTCACTTGACAGCTTGACATGACATGCGGCTCAAAACAGAACATGTCAGATGAGTAGCAACGCGCATGAAAGATCAAGCTTCTAGTCTTCGTTCAAGGCGTTATTCTACCCAAAATGGAAGAGGGCCTTTTTTATACGCCTGCGTTAAGTCGTATCCATGTGTGATGTCTGTAGATAGATCTGTTCTATAGACTACTCATGTCAGCTTGTTCTTCTCCCAAATTTTACATGACACGGCACAAGATTTAGGCTAGCTATAACGTGTATTTTCACCAGGGACGGAAAATCAATGAAAATCCGGGAAACATATTTCTGCCGTGCTGATATCCGGATTTCCAGATAAATCCAGGTAAGTTTCATCACTGTATCAGCCAATCAACACACTGACTTGGTTTCATCGAAGGAAACCTCAATGCTGCCTGCTACTGCAAGTTGGGGGTCGTGCTGGGTTAGGGTTAGCAGGCAGGACAATGCTCTTCCCATGTGGCTCACGTGTGTGCCAACTTCCTGGAGGAGAATGATGTCGAGGTTTTGCCATGGCCAGCTCTCAGTCCAGATTTGAACCCCATCGAGAATCTGTCAGACTTGCTCAGTTTTCACATCCGACGAGATCATCCCCGACAGACACAACAGCAGCTGAGGGTAGCACTGGAGTAAGAGTGGGCCGCTAGTCCACAGGACCAGCTGCGGCATTACTCTCGATCCATGAGGTGGCAAATTACAACTGTTCTTGACGCGAATCGAGGTCATGTTAATTATTGAACTGTAAATGCCACTTTTGTGAGCTGTGGTGCTAACTTGTTTTGTTTTGTTGCTAAAAATGAAACAAAGATTAGATTACTGGGCTAAAATGAGAAGGACCTATATGTGGGATTCTAACACGTACCTTTGATTTCACAAAATTTGGGCTAAAACTAAAAAAAAGTCAAAGGTGTGTTTCTTTTCTCCTTGAGTATATTTTCACAGATTGCCAAAGTGCGAATCAAGAATTAGCTCAACCAATCCCAACAAATAAAATCATTGGTGATATTCATCATACATTAATCAGTACACAAACCAAGTTAATTAATCATGTTATATTTGAGTGGATCCCTGGTCACTTTGGAATTAAGCTAAAAAGAGAACATAGATGTCAAGTGGCCTTTAACTGACACCAAAGTAAAACATGACCTAGTCAATCATCATCTTAAATGTAAGTGGCACCAAGAGAGGCATGATACTAAGAACTCAGAACCTAAAACCGTCCAACTTATCGCATCTCTTAAAATGCATTCCTGGAACTCCCAAGGTGGCAACAAATTAAGCTTGGGATCTTGTAATAAGTTAAACAGCTTTCAACAAAAATTTAGAAAACATCCTGATGGTCTTGATGACACTTGTCATACCTAGGGTACAGTTACACATTGTCTCATATTCTGTAATAAATAAGTGAGAAACAGAATAAACCTCTAAAAATCCCCTAATCTTAGTTCTAATGATTTTACCTCAACTAACATCTTCCAGTCTCAAAACAACATCCCTCAGGTCATCCATTTTATTAAAAATTGCCATATCAAAATATAACTCTTCCCACGGTAATTGGCTCCTACAATATAATATGTGCAAATTTACTATAAAGCAGTGACCTTGTTACATGTACGGTATGGAGCAGGCAGGATTGGCCAGACACTCAGTGCCATCATCACCTGTCGTCACCTGGAGATATGTGGACCTGTGAACATACCTGCGGGGCCAGGCCCTTAAAGTGCTAGGCAACGGCCAACCTCGCATGACCTCTTCTATGAGGCACTGAGTGTCTGGATGATTCTTCAAGCCCCCTCCCCTTCCACTATAAGGTCTCTTGTTTACATGTACATGTACTGTACATCCTGTCTGGGGAGAACTATCGTTAGTTTGCCATCATTCATTCATGAAGACTTCTTCAACAATCTGATATACTTCTCTTGTGTATCTTTTCTCTCTCCATTTACACATGCGAGATGATTACTCCATCTACAAGTGACGCTGACTACACTGCTTATGGCACGCAGGGCACCAGTTTGCCATATGTGGTATTAACCTACAAGAACAAGAAGAAGCTCACCAGTTCATTCCATCAGGTGTTCCATGACACTGGTAGCAATACGTCTACATGACTCACCTGCATTCCCACTGCAGTGATGTGGGTACACCCCCTAAGGTCTAGTAGCTTGAGTTGGTGTGATTTAACCAACAGCCTGAACAACATGTTGTCATCTATGGCTATGCCACCGTTAACCACGTTTGTGTTGACAGAAAGGCTGAGCTCCTGCAGCTGAGGAAAACCGGTCGATTCTGCCTGTCAAGCAAATAATGCCAGGGATGAAAAGAGTTGCTAACTACTCAAGTCACACATCAAGGGAAACTAACTTCAACCACAGTTCATTTGACAGAAACGTCAACTCCAGTCAGGTCAAATCATTAGCACTAACAGCAAGCTAAGTCAAGTCTTTCAACACTAACATTAACCACTTCGTGCTGGGCAGAGTTTTTGCATGCAGGATGCGTTGCCAGGCATTTTTCAAGATTTTCCATTTTCAAAATTCTTCAAAAATTCATATCTGCATTTACTGGAGGCGTACACCCAAACGAATGACTGTCTGGTGGCTTATCTAATCTGACAGGCAACCTCCATTAACATGTGAGTAGTGCAGCTGGGCCACCCAGCAAAGAGAGCTCCCATTGTGCGGTGTTACTTAATTTCCTTTGTTTCAGAATTTCCCCAGTGCATTGCTGGATGGCAGTGTTGTCTTTACAAATGCAGCCAGATCAGCATGCAGCAGTATTGTATCGCTCATCGCTGGAATGCTGGAGCACTTTTGTCCTCGCTGATAATCTGTGAGCGCTGAATGCGGTAAACAATGGTACCATTTCAAAACAATGACGGATTACCTCTGCTAATGCCAGCACTCTGTGCTGACAGCACATGAACCTTAACTGGCAAGTCCCGGCAGCTTTTGTTCTGAGTTCAGTCTTTTTTACAAGGCCCAGTTCCTTTGTTCTGATTTTGGGCACTTCAGGCATGCGTATACAGCCAACGTCTCAGGCACCGGGAGCCGGTGCCGAATGGTTAAGTTAAGTTAAGCCAGTTATCAGAAGTGAAGCTTGTTGATCAAGTCGAGTCAACCAACCAACTTTTCTGCTGATGCAACTGGAATTTTTTTTTTAATGTCAATGCACAGACATTACAGTGTGGCACAGAGATGTGGCACAGAACCTAAATGCAGTACACAGCTTGATGTCCCTGACTAGTATGAGCAAGAAAACTTTCACTGGTTTTCATCAGCATTGAATTTCAGTAGATTCAGGAAAGCAGGAGGTCGTGGGTTCGAGTCCCACCCAATCAAGCTTGCCTTTTTTTCCACAACCTCTCGAGTGTAGACACTGAGCATTCAGTGTTTATAATATACATCGGGTAGGGTAAAACCCCAAATTAATATATCTTCCCATCGCAAATTCATCTTTGAAAATGGATTCAGGACATTCAACTATCAATGAAAGCCTTGTAGAAACACCAACTGGCTACAGATGGCACAGCATTGCAGTAATACATGATGGCACTGGATCCAATGAGTAACAATGCCCATACAATTAAAATTTCATTCATACCAGATGTTTGCTGTGTTTTCGTCTGGGATTAAATTGATACATGGTTTCTTTCAAGTGTGGACGAAAAGAATGGGAATTCTTACTTGGACCTTACTGGAGACTTGGCTGGCCCGCACCATGCAGCCAGCTAGATGGAGGACCTCTAGCCTAGGACATCCTCTCTGTAACTCCTCAATGTGCAGCATCAGAAAATCGGAGGTGAACTTGCAGTTAGAGATGTTCAAGGTGACCAGGTTACTACAATGTGTCTAGGTGATGAGAAACCAACATCAAAAGATGTCAAGAAGTATGAATAAATTACACTGAAGAATGGTGTGGCAAGGAGCGTTTTCAGGGATAAAAGTATTCATAATATGCTTGGTGGTTTCACGTAACACATTATATTGACAGTATCAAGTGGCTTCTTATGTAAATGATGAAGATCTTACTTCACTAGGATGCTCCCTGTAAGTTAATGAAGCCCTGGTCTGAAACATGTCTATTATCAGCATTACAATCCTGGGCTGTATCAGTTGGTCTTGGGTTCATATCCTGTCCTGGGCCAATGAATAGCCCACTTGAGGTGGGCTCTTTACTTAGACTTTGCTCATTTAGGCAGCTATTTTGCTATTTTGCTTCTTTACTGTGCATGGTTAAAACCAAAAAAAACAACGGCATGACACGGCCGCCCAGCCAGACACCCAGAGTATATTTCACGCCTCGACAAGCTTTCAGTGCATGATGTACTGAGTTTTTTTTAAATGAACATTTAACACCACATAATTTTGAAATGTCTCAGCAATCTAGTTATCCTGTGAGGATGCACTTCAGCTCTGTGTGGATCGCGAGTACAGATTCTTCACTGGCATCAAGGGTGGCCATGGAGATGTACAACCTATTTACCTTAAGGCACTTCAGGATGATTGGTGCTCTCTTCAGCCTGTTACCTGAGAGATTCAAGAGGCGCAAGTGACCACTTGTTGTCTGCAGAATATGCGTCATGCTTGTAATACTGACAACATCTGCCTGTGGAAAGAACAGTGTTTTGATACGCAAACAAATCTCAATGTAAGACAGGTAACCACTCTCCACAGTGCAGTCATAAACAGCGGCACAAGTTAAACCAAGTACATGCACACCTTAGTGACATCATATTTACACTAATGAATGTGGACCTATTGCTGAGTGATTTACAGGGTTCTCACACCTTAGTTTTCATATTGCAGGATATCACAATTCCAATACTGCATTATCAAGGCACTCAATAGTATACATATAATACATGCAGACTTCCCTGTTTAGATCGCATTACACAGGTGTTTTATATCACCTACATATTAAGCACTCTTGTTCGATTATCTGTTAATTTGCGTCAGATATATGTGAATTCTAAACTGAACACTGTTAGCAAAATCCAGTAAAGAATAAGATTAAAATTTGTTACCAAGTTGACACATCATAAAATCATGTCTCATTCACGATGACAAGTTTCTGTACATGTAAATATATATTTGGTTTTGAAGGGAAGACATGTCTAAAACTGTTTTTATTTTTGGGTGGTTTTTGATTACTTACATTGGTGTGAGACAAGTCAATGGTGTGAAGCATTGGACAGTTATCAACTAATAAGCAGACAGAGGTAGCAGTTAACTTGATGCAACCATTGAGGTAGATGGATGTGAGATACTTGGAACAGTGAGTCACGAGAGCCTGAAAAGAAAAGATTCAGAGCCAAATCATAGTGAAATTAGTTTGTCATGTATTTCATCAATTTGCCAACAACTCAGCAGCATAACAATGAGAGTATCTCTTGTACATTAAGTAAATCTTGAAGAAAAACTTTTTACTTCAAGCAGGAAAACAGCAATGATTGAAAAGAAAAAAACCTTCTTTGTATACACATAAACTAAGTACAACTTGCCTTCAAGCCGATATCGGTCAGCTTGGACCAACCTCCGAGGTTGATGGACTTAAGATGTGACAACCGGTTCTCTGCCAACCACTGCAGAGTGGTGTCCACGCACTTGATTCGCCCATTGGCAAGATCCATATGTTGCCATAGCGATGAGTGAATGGCTGCTTCTCTCCAGAGCCTGCACACTTGACATGCTCTGTGGGACAAAGCATACAACCCATGATTTATAAATGCACTGCTTACATAAAAATCTCTCATTTCAGTCCTTCATTTTAAGAAAATCCAGTAGAGCCATAAATTGCTCTCCTCAAATCTCTCAGGAGAGCAAATCACTCTCCTTAAAATAAATTAATCAACAGAAGTGAAAATGAGGTCAAACAATAGTTTGTACATGTACCTTGCAGTCTGTCGTTTCCACTTTCTTTGATGGTTTATAATGTTCTTGGGGCAGTTTTAAAATTAACCCTAACCTGCAAGAATCATCTAAAATCCTTTCCTGTAAATTCTGGTTACTTGGCAGTTGAACCATCGGAGGATTTTGCAGGAATTTGGTTACATGGAGTTTTGACTCTTGGAGGATTATGGAGGAATCTGGCTCTCGGGCTCAGCGTACCACATGAGGATTTTGAAGGATTTGGGTGTCAAACCCAAGGTAACACAAGGATTCTGGAGGAATTTGGGTATCAGACCAAAGGTACCACAAGGATTCTGGAGGAATTTGGGTGTCAGACCCAAGGTACCACAAGGGTTCTGGAGGAATTTGGTTACTGGGGTTTTGATTTTGGTAGTTTTTGGTACAGACTAGATTTTGGTACATTTATTGTACTTGTACTTCCTAAGGGCTCTGAAAACTTTTTTTTGTGTGGTAAACCACTTACATGTATGCCCCTGATATTCACCAGGGCTCTGTAGCTCCCTCAATCAACATGATCAAGCAGGGCGTATGGTGACATGAAACCGCCTCTTTATCTGTGGGGTTCACGGTGATTTTTTTGAGTGGCCCTGTGCAAGCCAAAACATGAGTCCTGTGATAAAGGGCGAGTGACCCACTGGAGTCAGCAGACAACAGCTGCTGAATGTCAGCAGTGGACAGACAGGGAACTTTCCCCAGTGATGCGCTCAATGAGTTTTGTTTATTCATAGTGCCAGCAAAAGTGTAAGGGTACATTTCAGGATTTTGGCTGTGATACTTGACAGTGATAATTGGAGGATTTTGGCTGTGATACTCGGCAGTGATAATTGGAGGAATTTGCAGGATTTTGGCTGTGATACTCGGCAGTGATAATTGGGGGATTTTGCAGGATTTTGGCTGATACTCGGCAGTGTTAATTGGAGGTTTTTGCAGGATTTTGGCTGTGATACTCGGAAGTGATAATTGGAGGTTTTTGCAGGATTTTGGCTGTGATACTTGGCAGTGATAATAGGAGGAATTTGCAGGATTTTGGTGTAATACTTGTAGTTTGTGCAGTCCAGAACTGAGTTTTAGCTCAGTTAGAAAGATGGGTTTACGACACATCCATCATCAGTGCTTGTTTTTCTTTTATTTAAACCAGAACCGTTATACTCGCAAATTAAAAACTTAGACTCTACCGACATTACATATAAGTTTCAACCTACAATTCACCACAGTTTAAGACTTGTAGTTTAATTAAGTAAAAGTTGAAGTGAACCTTTTTCATCCTGATTTGAGCATTTCTTTCCGAAAAAACCTGAAGGGGATTTGAAAGTTTAAACTACACTTCAACTTTGTCCAGTTGATGCAGAATGTAACAAACCCACCTCAATCAAAATAGGGAAATGTCAAACCAGGCACGTGCAAATGTGACAATATTTATGTATGATTATGATCCGACATGCTGGAGAATTTCCTATGTGTATTCATTAGGCACACAAGCTGTATGTATGCACGCAGCACCGTTTTCATGACTACCAAAGCTCATGGCACACCACTTTCTACTTAAGCACCCCATAAAGAAGATCGATACTGATTGGCTCTCGTCACTGAAAACTTTTTACCGACCAATAAAATCTAGTAACAGATTGTACCATGTACATTGAAACCACGCGCAACAATCATGCACATGTACAGTGTGCTGCTATACATGTACGTGCGTGCAGGGCCCGCTGGCTGGTCCAAAAGCGGGCAGCGCACACGATGATCGTATTCATAAAATAATTATAGGCCTATGTAAGTCGCCGCGGTATCAATGTGAGATCATAAGTTACACACCAATCAAAGTCCGTTTTTGGTGATGTTTTCCACTGTTTTTGTCATATCGTTCGTTATTTGTAAAGTGCCTTTAGATATTTATTAGGAGAGTGATTTTTGCTATCCTTTAGGAGTGTTGAAGAGTGTTGTAGGAGCACCTGTGTGATCACACTCCTTAGAAATGAAGGACTGTCATTTGTCTGCCCCAAGGTGTATTCTTGTTTTCCTTTTTTCTTCACATTGGTGAAGAAAAAAGGCCAAACATCTGGAGGTATTCAAGCAAAATCTTTCTAAAGTTTGCACTACTGTGACATTGACATGCAACCAGATGATACCCACCTACACAAATACGGGATGGCTCCTTCTGCCTGCACAACAAACTGAAACACGCGCTGAAGCACAATCATGGGTAAACGCTGACCCCACATCTGATGACCTTCAGAACTTGACCCCGCAGGACTGTATGTGTCAAGTTCATCGGTACTCCCCATCTCCTGTGTTTCTGTACTACTGCTGGCAGCCAGAGATGCTCTGGTCTCCCTTCTTGTTTTCTTTTTGGGTCTTGCAGACTTTGAAGAGGATTTTACGGCTGATTGTCTTTGTCTTTTGGTGTCCTCGGCATCCTGTCTCTTCCCTGAGTTTACTCTTCCTTTTAATGGTCCAGTTTTTGGCTTTGTATTTTTAGGCCTAAATGTAAAGTGACATTGAAGAGTAATAACTGAAATCATAACATTATACCATCTGGAAAATGAACTATAACACGGTGACTGGCCTCTTTAAACACAAATTTCAAAGTGTACAGGTTTGGATGCTGTTCTCAAATTTCAAATTTTGGTACAATGCAGTTAAAACTGTTCAGCATTATCTTCAGAATTCAGAAACATAAATACAGTAGAAGCAACAATGACTAAGTTAGGTTGAATCTTGCTTTTGATATATCAGAAAACAAAACAAGTAACATTTTAGGTCTTTAGACAGGACATGGTTTAATTTTAGAGTCAATCTGGCTGTGAGTAAAACATGATTTAATCTTCAAAGAGGTGGGTTATTTTGGCGGATCTCACAGCCAGTTTACCCCACAAGGACTTGACTGTACTAAGCAAAATTATTTTTTTTAACACTGCATGTTTGCAAAGACGCTCCTTATCATTACAAATGTGACATATCATCTTGTTGTTCCGGCCATTTGAAGTTCAAGGCTACATGCTTGCCAGCTCACGTACATGTACATGTATATACATTGAGCATCACAGTTGAAAAGTGTACGTTTTGGGGCTACCCCGTCTTGGAAAATTGGGCGCTGCACACAAACGGTATATCCAATTTTCACAAAACTGGCATCAAATCACCACAAAGAGTCTTACTACAAATTCCTAAGGCTCAAATTCTGAAAAGGCTCTGCGGAGATGTTCCAAAATATGTTGGGGGTGGATAACACTGTCCCACCCGGCTCTTTGAGGGCTAAGAAAACGGAACTCTATCTTACAGAGTTTGGAGTTTTGAGGAACAAGCCTCTTGTTCATCTTCATCATCATAATGAACTGCACCACCTGGACTGTAGTCAGAATCTGCATCATCATCATCTGACGGCCACTCTTGGGCCCCATTGGGTAGGAATGAAAAGAACATGGGTTCAGCTGGCTTGAGGAGGCCAAAAATACCTCGCTGACGCAGCCGTTGATGTCTGGCCATGACTCAAATCACCTCACTAGCAGCTCTGTATAGTAATAACACAAAACAATACAGCTATATATACATGTACATACTCATAAGAGTTACCGCTAATGGGTCATTAGGGAGACATTCCCATAAGAACGTACACAAAAGTTTTCCAACTTTACTGTCCCATAATTCAATATTCCCTGGTCTGATCTGAACCTGTCTGATCTGAACAAAACTTTGTATGTTTTCTATTTAGACCCTAATCTATCATCTCTCAAAACTTGGACAGTAAAATTTGGCCTCCTTCTGGTAGTTTGAAAATAGGGAGACACTGAAAGGTCTCCCTAAAAGCCAATGTCTCTCTAATGCTGAAAAATTTACCACAAAATGTCTCTCAAATGACCTATTTGTAAATATACATGTAACCCAAATGAACTAGGTTACCGCAAAAGTGCTACATGTGGCTTGCACAAATAAGCCTCAAGCCTGCTGAGAACATCCATCGGGAGCATCCATGCTGGTGCATACATGTAGGCCCAGGCTATGGAAAACTTGAAATTCAAAGTGACCATAATACCTTTTGGGGGTGACAGGATTATAATATCAATAAGGAAAAGATAGGAGCTGAATTGTGATTGGTCAAGCTGTCATGCTGCTGACGATCGAGAGGGTATTTTTGTGTTGTTGATTTTCCGTGGATGGGCAAAATATGTGTATTTGTGAATTAAATAAGATACATGTTGAATAAACCTCCCCTTACATGTACGTCTAACCTCACATTTAACATCACTAAAGGGACATGTATGAAAGTTGTTACACAAATATCTGTGATGATAAAGTTGGCACAATCAAACCACCCAAATCGTATTTATGACAGTTTGTCCATTACTATCTGTACGGTTTGTATACGCCTTACAGCTCTGGAAGCAGAACCCAGCTGGGAGCAAATCAAGCGATCTCAAGACATGCATGCTATCCATTAAAGGAACCACAGACCCTAGGCCTACTTGGAATCTACCTCCAGAACTCTTGAGATTCGTCATCTGCAGTGCTCCCACAGACAATGACCCCCACAGTTCTGGTGTTTGCCTTCTTGGAAACAAGTGGTAAACTAAAAAGATTAATTTAAAGCTTTATCAGAGTTATAAATGGGTTTACTCGTCTAAATGCATAAAAGAGGGGGCTGCCTACACGTAGTTGTCTTACCATTTTGTTAATAGTCCTAATTTGGACTTCAATTTTTTTTAAGTGAAAATTTCTGAAAGTGCGCAAATTTGCACGTGCATTTTTTAAATTTTGTGCAACCACAGACATTGCCATAAAAACAGGTACACTGTACATGTAATTCAGACTTTGCTTCGCTCTGACAAAATAAATCCTCATGAGAGCTCTTAAATACAGGTGATTCACAATAGTGCGCCTCCAAGAGTTTGCAACATTTTGGCCAATCACAATGCGCAAAATCTGTCGACCAAATGGACATTTTGAAAGGGTTGACAGATTTCGTGCATTGTGATTGGCTAACGCATTGCAAACTCTACCTTGGAGGCGCAATCACCTATATTTCCCTGTTGACATTTAATTTGGAAAATTCTTAGAGCCATACATGTACTAATTAGAAATATATCTGCAATAAAAGTACAAACCCAGACAAAATGAGTAAGAATCTGAGAAAGTAAGGATTTTGAAACGACCCTAATACATGTAGTATGACCTGGAATCTTAGCCTTTACTCAAGGCAACAGTTTCTCAGTTTGACTGGTGCCAGACCGTTGGAGACTTTGAAGGGAATGGGAATCCCTGAGCTGCAGCTGGGCCCGGTAGAATGCCAACCTTCACGACTCTCTTTAAAATCAGGCAGTTCAAGGCACAAAAATTGTGCACGTTCAAAGGCTGCACTCAACATTACCTGGGAAAAGATTCCATATTGCGCCACCTTTCTGTCACTACTGTGTGCATGTTTCACGTCTCATGGCAACAATCATGGTGGCCTCCACTGCATTAATATCGCGTGAAGTATAGTGAATAAAATATTCCCCAATTCATCCAAACCTTCAGCACAGGCACATTCAACTTCCAAACACACCTCAAATGATTTGTTGGCAAGTGTTTCATAAATCAGTGCTTAAAAAATTGCAAAACAATTTGGGGAAGGTGGTCCACGAGTATAGAATTTTTGCCACCCTGGATCTTCCCACATATGCACAACCTAACTTGCTCAAGGACAATTGCCCACTTTCAAAGGTGAACATGCTGCGCTGCATGAACATTCTGAACAGTGGAGATATCTGCACCACTTGACACCCCACACAAAAGTTTTAAGCCTAAAGTGTTTTCTAAGTAAACTCATAGAGGGACATGGGGAAGAATTCCATGCACACCAACGGACACAAGTAATTTGGCCTACTACAGCCGATGACCAGTTGATAACCAATATTCTATTCAGGCGAGGCCTTTGTTCAGAAAAATTCAATTTAGGAGGGACAATAGTCAATACTCCGAGTCAATTTCCGAGAAAATGCTTTTCAGACCAGTCTTTCATAGGGTCTCCGCACAGGGTGGAACTCTCTCCTGTAGTCCTGAGGCTAGAGAATAAATACCTTTATACGCCCAAACTATAGCGTCAGTCCCAACTCTAGTTGGGCCCATCCCAACTGTACTACCAGAGCTAGAGTACTGTAGTTTGGCTGGCCCAACTACAGCACAGACTCCAGTGTGCTAGTGCCCGGCATGTGGCAAAGTCATATTCATTGTTTACTGTGTCATGCCATAGATAAAGTGCCATATTCTAGATGAATCGTGTCAAGCATGAGATAAATATTATAAACTTGGATAAGGTTGAGAAATTTTCTAGAGAAGTTGGGGCCAGCCCAACTACAACACTACAGTTGGGCCTGTTCCAACTATAGTTGGCCAAGACACTATAGTTGGGGCGTAACATCTCCACTTACTACTAGCCTAATTTCTCAGGCGATGTGCAGTACCATGGCCAATGATCTAGTTAATAAAAAACTTTGGCTGTGTCCGAATCACTTGGCAGCTACGGCCAGAAATTACGCACGAATCTATATTTCGGCCTATGATTCGGACGACAAGAGTTGTAGCGCCCTCACTCGCTTCATTCAAAACAAAACAAAAAGAAACAAATATTTAGGGCGCTTGTGTGCTTCACAGTCAATTCGCCCCATTTCCACGTCGACCCATCGCACTTCGCCCCATCTCCACTTCGCGCCTTGTCGATGTCCGGCGTGCTCGAGGGTGTTACAAGCACAGGGTCGGTTTCCAATACTCAATTCGGCTCCGGCTTCAACTTTTTTTACTAGCTGATTTTAAAGCTATAAGCTCAGTAATTAGTCTAATAGTGCCACAAAGCATCAAATAAGATGTAATAAGAGAGACAAAACTTACAGCAATTCAATGTAATTTAAACGCTTCAGGCTCATAATCGGGGATTGGTTTTGGGAACAAAGACGGAGACGAAGTTGAGTATTGGAAAACGGCCTAAGCCTCTTCGAAAAATAGTCTAAGTCAATGGTGGAAGTTACCATAACTGAGTTGCTTTTCACATGTTGCAAATGTAACTGGGGAAACATGTAAACATAGGCATGAGAAGTCTGTCGTTCTTATATTTATTAAATTCGTTTGGTCTAAGGTGCGCAATGAAAAATTAGTAGGGTCTCGCCGAAAAAAATTGGTCAGTCGGGAAATTCGAGGCATTGTTTTGGCCTTAGCAAGTTGGATTCTCCGACCGTTATTTGGTTACTGAAACGTCGATGTTATTATTTGTTGCATCTATATATGTCTCCGTTGCTATAAGAACAGAATGAACAATAATTGGTGGGGCGAAGTGGCAATATGGCGAAATGGCATGGGGCGAAGTGGCTAGGCGCGAAATGACCGACACCCGTGGCATGAACCGTGCGCTCATCTTTGCTGTCACGCGTGTACCACCGATAGATTGTGTGCTAGCCCCTCGAGCATATTTGTCAGGGGTAAAGCGTTTAATGAATTGGAATAGAAAGTTGTGAGGTACATGTACGTAGGCTAGTCCATGACCTAGTCCCCCGTGTATACCCCGTGCACAAACCTTATGTGACTTATCTGAAAAAGTCTGTTTTGGTATTTTCCCACCGAAAGTTAACTTTTCTCGACATGTTTTTCTTCTATTTTCTAATGAATTACTACTAGTTTCTGCATGGAGCTGGTAGGAAACATGGTTTCTGTATAAGGAATAATTGCGGCATCATCAGGGTTCCTGCAGCCTGGAAAAGTCATGGTAGGGCCTAATTTGTCATGTTTGTTTTCATTTTCCAGGCCTGAAGAAGTCATGGAAGGTTGGAAAACATGAATAAAGTCATGGAATTTTTCAAACACTGTGTGTGATTTCTGTTGTCAGAAATAAGTGCATTTTATTCACAACTTTAAAAGTCTGAATACATGTAACTAGTCCAAGAAATTGAATTTATTGGGTCATTGATTTTCATAATTTTGTCATGGAAAAGTCATGGAATTTAATTGTCCTTTGGGTGCAGGAATAGGAACCGTGGTACTGTATGGAACTCTTCTTATGACTGAAGTTTTGCCATTTCAATTGGGGTAGTTACAGTGTAGGCCTAGGCCTTACGTATACGTACATGTAATGTATATATCATATGTACACATATATTCAGCATATTCATTAAAAGTGCAGGGTTTTCCTTGTGCAGTGTTTTTTAAGTTGCACATCTTTCAAATTTGTGCAGATAACATAGAACGCAGTCTTTGAACCTGCACAGTTTTTGTGCCTATAACTATGCAGATTTAAGGGGAGTCATGATGGTTGCGTTTCAACTGGGCTTGGCTGGTGGTGCAGGGATTCCCATGCCCTCTGAAGTCTCCAGATATTGTGCACCTGTTTCCCTGGTCTACATGTATGCATCAATCAAGCTGGGAAACTGATGCAAGAATTCCAGTATAAATTAGTATCGTTTATCATATTTATTTGTTTAGGATCCTACTATTATTGCAGATATTTTTCTAATGGCTCTAAGAATTTTCCGAATTAAATGTCAACAAGGGAATTTGATCGCTCCCACGAAGAATTTTTTTAGAGAAAAGCAAAGTCCAAATGAAATGTCAACAGTGGAATTTAATTGCTCACGCAAGAAAATATTCATTTCGTCAGACAAATGTGGCAAATCCTCAAGAACAACATTCAAATCTGTGATCCCTACCAAATGCAGTTTAGAGCTGCTGTCTGACATTTAAATTTTAAAGTATTGCTTAAATGTATTTCTTCCAAGTTCCTGTCTCTTCCAGACGGACTTCAAAGACCACAGAGACCACAAAAAAAATGACCAGGCTCTCATTCAGAAGCTTTGAATGGCCTGTCGGCAGTTAAAACAGAAGGTACATGTACATGAACGGTATTAATTTACGTGTTCGTGAATATGAATGAGTTCATTGTTTGTGAATTTAAGGAAACTTTTCTGTTAATGTAATGACTCGTACATGTATGGAGCACCACATGCTTTTACAATTAAATACATGTAGTATCTGGCCACTGAGTTGTCATCTTGTTTCTTGGCTACAAATTCTAGAGCATGTGTGCTGCATGTACATGTGTAGAGCATCATAAACGAGAGTCTGTCTTTTCATCATTTATGTAAATGTTCATAAAATATATGATCAAAAATATTCTGAGGGTAGAATTTGGTAGGCATTGATATTATGACCTTGGACACCATCTATCATATATCCTTGAATTGTGGAAACAGAATGAAGTCATAGAACCTGTTGATTCCTAACTTTTCACAGCTAGACTTTCAAGAAAAGGAATCAGAGATCAGTACCTTCAGCAGGTTCAGCATGCAGCCCTGGTCTTTGAGTCATAGATGTGCATGCGACATGTCATGAAGATGAAAGGTACATTGAAACACTTAGCAGTAACTTGCTTAGTCTCTTTGACTTAATAGCAAGCATATTAAGTAAAATCAAATAGTCTGTTTGCTTGTATTTCATTTTGGGGGGGGGAGATTGACTTCCAAGTCTTCATGTGACACTTTCAGTCAGGTTCGGAGTGTGTACCAGTGATCGTTGGTCATGTACACTGTAGGTGTATTTGCATACCCATGCTGTCGGTGGAGACAGAAGGTAAATTGTTGCTTTTTGAAATTTTGCTTAGGAAGGAAGGAAGCATAATTTTCAAGTTTTGGGATTAGTGCTTGTATCAACCAATATCAAGAATATTCAGTAACCTGTCAGAAAGGAAATTTTGAAAGTTTTCAGTTAATTATTGTTAATTTTTATGACTGATACTCCAGATATTCTACTCAAACATAGGAACATTTTTGGAACATTTTAATGAAGTTCTCCATGTTCAGCGGTAAATAGAATTGGTCAAACTGTTTCCCTGAATGCACTATAAAAATGACCTCTCTGTGTCAGTCTCTATTGTCAACTTAAACTACCTCTTGGTACATACATGTATACTTGCGCTCCCACGTTTTCTCTCTATAGATCTTGATTTCCTTCAAACTCTGAATGCAAAGACTACCTTTGATTTCCTTTTGGAGGATCTGCAAAGATTTCAGACCAAAAGCAAAAACCAGGGAAATGGATTTTGAGTTCAAGCACATGTACATGTACCTGTCTAGTGAGCTAGAAAAATCAATTTGCCCAAGTAATTAACCTGCTAAGCCAGTTACTCAAGGAACTACATGTAAATGTGTCCCTTTAATGCAGTGCCAAAACAAGGTGGCTCAGTCGATACCACAAAGGGAAGAATGACACATTTTTTAATCATTCCAAAAATATTTGAATGAAGTGGCAAATTGGTTCAAATCAACAAAGTCCGGTGAGAGGGAGGCAAGAAATGTGTCTTTGGATGTGTGCTGCTTTGTACTGCTTTTGTTTTGCACATCTAGACCTGTTTAAGGGGATGAGAGTGATCCAGTCCATGTAGCTTTGAACACATATTACCACCGATTGTGAATGCATGCGTATACCTATGGCAACACCATGGGTGAGCATGGAGGAAAGTCATCAAATGGGATAAAGAATTGGTTATTAGTAATTCACAATACTGTCTGTGGACTAGGTAATTAATTAGAAACTCTCTAGTAATATTTTGGCACTGTGTTTCATTTCATGTGTGGATTTTGGGCCACTAAATTGAACAACAGGTTCTTGTTTCTTTTCTCCATTATGTACATGTACTATCAGTGCAAACAGAATTAAACAAAATCAACTTCTTAAAGTTTTGAATCAGGTTATGTCTAAGAGTAAGTATTAGTATGCAAACTACTTTGCAACAATATTTTAATGTAAGATTACACTGACACAAAAAGTCACATTTGGACCCCATATTTATTGAATGAAAGTGTGGGCATTTGTGCCTGAACCACATACATGTACATGTATTATGTACCCTTTTGGACTTTCTTTGCAAAGTAAACAGTCAAATATTAAGGCAGCCAAAAAATTGTACTTGTAAAATGTAGGCGGGGGCTGGGATCCATCTCGCTACAGTGATATCACTGCAGTGCATTTTGTTCAGGAGTTGAACCTTTATGGGTTTTTAGTAATTCTTTGTTACTCATTGCACATAGCCTGGTGCACAAGTACTGGTAGCCTTGAATTTCAAATGACCTTAACAAGAAAACAATACGTCTGATGAGATAAAACGACACTTTTGTAATGGTAAGGAGTGTCTCTAAACTCAAACATGGCACAGCCTAGTTCTTGGGCATTAAAGACAAAGTTGTTACATGTAACTCCTTTGCATAACATTCCATTTAAATCACATATACAACATCTAATTTCTTCTCCTCAAAATTTATTCTGCTTCAAAAAATTCACTTCCTCCAAGATAAATACGTAAAGACTTGTTTATGCTCTCAGTTTTTGAAGCTGCTCTCATAACGAGCTTTGCTAGGTCAGTGGCTCTGGACTAGTCAGCTTTGTCAAAGTCTCTTGTTTCATGAATGCTTAATCAGTATCAGCATATTTTGGCAGCCCTCATCTACATACATGTATCTTATCATATTTCTGTCATGTCTTTATCGTTTTTTGTTTGCAGTAAATTTTGTGGGAAGTTTCCAAGGTAAGGAAGTACCGAAAAGTCTGTGAGATTTAACAACTGTGACTGGATCTGTGATTTGTGTCATCAGACATTTGCTGGAACGTTTCACTGATATTACGAAAATTGGGGTAAGAGTGGTATCTCAGACTCAAAAGAGGTCCAACCGTAGATACCTCTCTCGGTTTTATGTGATCTTGATTTCATAGGTTAAATTCCCTTCTGCGCTCAACGTGTAACTATACCTAAAATGAGATTGATTGTTGCTTCAAAAACAAGGAACTTTTCAAATTTATACAGTTGAGCTTCATACATTTTTGTATTAATTGGATTGAGCTAAGGTACCAGTAATATGCAATCAGTATGAGTACCGAGTACTTGAGTGGTGAGTCATCACTCATACAAGGTACACAGGGATATTCCCTGTACAGTTTGAATGATTGTGGTCTTTCTCCTGAGCAATTTGAGGATCAAGATGGATTTCTTTGCGAGCCATGTGCAGCCCAACAGCAGCAAAAAATCAGGAGTAGTCCCAACTCTTCGTTAGCTTAAATACTGATTGCTGTTTAAGTTGCTCAGTGGCATTCAAAAATAATGCCAGGGGTATGAAGAGATACAGCTTAAAGTATTGTGGTCTCACCGCGGAGCAGTTTGAGGGTCACAAGGGATTCCTTTGTTTTGCATGTATGAGGAAGTATCGGAAAAAAACTGAAAGTGCTAAAGACGCTGTCGTCAGGGTGAGAGATGGCAATTTGAATACCAAATGCTGTTTGATGTGTGAGTCGCCATTCATAAAAGTGAAAAGGAACTATTCCAGAAGGAGCTTAAAAACTTGTGGTTTTTCTCCTGATCAGTTTGATGGTCAGGATGGATTCCTTTGTCTTCCATGTGTTAACAAGCTTCAAAAACTAACAAGGCATACTGAACCGTTGATCAACTCCAGAAAGTCATCTAAAAGGAAGAGAACAAAGTGATCTTCTGCAAGTCCTGCTGAGAATTCATGTGGGCAGACCAATTACAAAGACAAAGTTTACTCTCTTCTCGAATCAAGCCATTATAGTGCTGCTTTCACTGCCCTTCTTCGTCGCAACTCAGCTAAACAACATTTCCATAAGGTTGTCAAGAAATCAGTCCAAAAAGAAGTCAGATCATGTCCTGAGGAGATGCATTTTTCATGTCCTGCTTCTTTTGAAGGCCTAAACAGTTTGAAATGGGACAATGTTGTTGAGGAGGCTGCTACTCATATGCCCCTTCTTGTGGATGTCTTAAAAGCTGCTCTTCCGGACCCCTCAAAACAGCTGAAGAAAACCTTCTGCGGTCAGAAAGTGACATCGTTGAAGCAGGCTGAACTACTTCGTGATCAGCGACTGGGCTTTATTTTGTCACTGGTGCTGTACGCATGTAAGCCTATTATATACAATTTTTATCCAAAGTTGCTTGTCGCTGCAACTCGCAAAGAGTAAATGTGCTTCTTGGCTTCTCCAGTGCCTTCACAGCCTCGGTGTATGCAAAACGTTTCATGGAACCATGCTTACTGCTCGGATGGCAAAGAAAAGCTCCTTGGCGAAGCAGGTAAGGGACCAAGATACTCCAAGTCAACAGATTGAGTCAAGTGCTACACTTGAACATACTGAGATCTGTGAAATGGAAGTACCATTTCTGCTACACATGGATACTGGGGATGAAGCACGGTCATCTGTTGAGCATGTCATGGATGATGTTCAGTTCCCTGATGGGACTATGTGTGACAGTGAGACCTTCATACCACTTCCTGCATTGTGTGCCAAAGAGCCAGGTTCCAGTGAACGTAATTGCTGTGCATGTACTGCGAATGAAACCCAGAGTACATATCCTGAGCCTGGATATACCCTCGTGTGTAATCACATACCAGCAGACTCAACATGTAGACCTCAGTCTTGTCAAGGTAATGCTAACATGTGCACCTTTGCAGTCAAAAACAGAATCCTGTTAGATACCCCTAAGTCAAGAGATGGTGCAGTTCGTCATGCGCAAGAGGTCCCTCTTTCCTGTTTTCTTCCCTCTTCTGATGACTGGCAAAATATGAAGCACAGGATGTGTTTGATACTGAAGTGCATTTTAAGGGATCATTTTCTATATTTACAGAACATGAAATGTTCTGCTTATGTGCGTCACAAATACAGTCTTACTACTAGAAGAATAAGCGAAATAGTGAGGTTAGGTGAACAAGAGAATATGTCCACCAGCACGCCAGGTGCTGTCCATGCGCTCGAGTCACTGCTTCAGTTTGTGCCATCTCAGGGTGATGACTTGCATCCAGTTGTCTGTTTTGGAGATAAGCACTCTGTCAAGCAAATGGTTCACACCAAACATTCACGATCTACTGAGGCTTCTGCAGCAGCAAAGTTAGAGGGACTAGTACTTTGTCCCCAGGACTTGCACCGCAGAGGTGTGTTACTCAAAGACACCATAGATAGATTCTTCAAAAAGGAAAGTGCATCAGATCCAGGCACTCTTTGCCACTTGAAGAAACACTTTGGATATGGTCCAGTCAAGAAGATCACGAAAGCCATGAACAAAACAGATCCATCTGAACTGCAGCATGATATTTGCTTGATGCTCCTTTTTGTAGTCAGGTTAAATACACGTGTGACATGTGAAAATGATAGTTGGTTCCACAAACTGAAATGCAGGGCATTTTCCCCCATTGCAAGGACAGCGCTGGCATGTGATACACATTTGCCCCTTCCGGATAGATTATCACCTGATCTTTTAGTCAAATCGGTTTTGTGATACCACTGCCAAAGCAATTTCTTTGTTTTAATGTAGCACTTTTTGATGTACGTGTATAAAACGAAAACTTCAAACATCTGCATTGAGAATCATGTGATAACAGCATCCTCAATTCAGATTTTGAGCATTAGTAGTGTGTTGAACATGATCTACACATGCTAAGTTTCAACTACTAAAATCTCAATTCTTTAATGAATTACTTTTCAAAAAGTGTAAGTTTTGGGCCACGTTTGGTTGGCAGTACACTCCTGAAAGGGTTCAAATGTCCTGGAGAAAAGCATGAATACATTTAGCTTTAGATCAGATGTAATTCCCAGAACTAATCACTGTGTCACACATAAAGTGTTTGGACACTCCTTGTGTTTTCATTTCACAGAATGTGTACCCAATGAGCTGTGAACTTTGATGATGTACGTGTAGGCCTACTGATTATTGAAAGGTTGTTTACAAGTCTACCATTCATCCTAATAGATTTTTTATTGGTAGAGACAGTTAAAAATTGAGTTGTTTAGGAAATTGTGATGGTGACTTGTTCCTTTAATTGTAATATTGAAGTAGATTTAAATTGTGCAGAGTTTATGAGGGGCTACTCAGCGAGATAGAGGTTTTTGTTTTTAAGAAAAATGTTTACTGCCTGGCCAAAGGGCATAATGATGCCATGTGCTGTAATCCGTAACAGATTTTTTCCAAACGTGGGTGTGACATTTTGATAGAAGTAATTTGAAATTCATTTTTTTGTAAATGATGCCTGTTACACACTGTTTTTTCCCTTTTGGCATCTGTGTACTCTTTGAGAAAAAAGTGGATTCTAAAAAGATAACCATTGCTTTTTTTTAAATACCCCAACCCCAATCTACATTTTTACATAGGTTGGACCATGTGCATTGTTGAACTGTGTTCAACATGTATGAAAACGCTGAGGTAGGCAGCAGCAGCCTCCGTAAAGTGTTGGCTAAATGTCTAAATATGGGAACGTTTTCTAAACGTTTTTCAAATTAACATAAATTTCCACCCTTAATATGTTGCATTGTGAACTGTGCAAATTAATTGCCGAAATTTCCATTGTGTCTGGCATGTAACAAAATCTACTCTCGTGATAAAGAAAGTAATTGATTATTGATCCAAAATAAGTTAATTGTATTGTGTATGTTTCGATCTGAAGCAATGAATGGTATTGGAATTTCTACAAGTTTTGAAGACAAATGGTGTGGGGGATTTTATAAAGCTGTTTTAGCACAGAGGATACAGGTATACATGTACATTGTGTATTTATGTAACCAGCCAAACCACCACATTCAATACTTCTGGGACTGGTTCTGGACTGTTTTTGCTGGCCTCATATACTGTACAAGAATTTCTGTTGAGAAACTCTGAACATTCTAATGCAGTCTGAGGCCACCCATCAGATTTTGCTAAAATACAGCTTTTGATACAAACAGTAGGAGTATTACTTGATCATTTGTTTAAGATTCTGTTGTGTTTCTTGCATACCAAAATTTAATGTATATTTACATCCTTATGTTGCAGTAATGCTCTCTGGATAAGAGTTGCAGTGTTTACTTTGTAAGATTTTTGGCTGTTAAAGTTCTGTTCTGATGAAAAACTTTAAGGTGCTATATAATGACAATGAACAATTTAAAAAAAGTTGAGCCCATTTAATGAAAGGACAAAGTTGAGCCCATTTAATGAAAGGACAAAGTTGAGGCACAACTGCTAGTGACACAGTTTTCTTCGTGCAAACATTGTAAAATGTCATGCCATCTGTATGGAACATGTTTACTCATGTATTCATTTTCATTTCTTTTGTGATGGAGCACCAAGATGAGTGTATCAACTTATTATTTTACATAGTTGATAACGTTGTTCATTCAGTGTCCAATAGAATGAGGCAATGCCTTGTCATTAGGAAGTTTTAGGTGCATCAAAATTTATTGGAAACTGTGAGACTGCCATTGTTCACATTGAGAGGCAGTGAAAGAGAGAACCCTGTAAGTTATTCTTGTTTGCCATACAGATTTGTGTGTATCCCCAAAGAGCCCACATGTAAATCGCACAGTTCATGTACATATAATGTACATCTATCCCTGTCTTTGTAAGAAGCTGTGGTGCATGTTTGATTCTTGGGCTACATGTATTAGAATAAAGACACTGAGTTGATGATAATGTAGCAGTAAAAATTTGTAAGATTACACCTGTCACTATTGGATACAGTTGGATTGGTAGAAAACACACATAGCAGAACCAAGAAACCTGAGGATTTTGTAGCTACATTTAATTCTCAGATAATGGACTTAATAACCTTTTAAAACCAATGTAAAACAATATGGCTATTACCTAGTAACTATGCAATGTTTGTATTCCTAACATTAAGGAGATCAAAGTGTTGTATGTTGGACTCGTCACTTAGGTTTGAACACTTTTCGCTCTGAAGAGTCAATCTAAAAGCATTTATCCTTTGTGAATGGACGGATTTAATATTTTTTGTACTGAAATAAAGGTGCCAGACTTGGCAAGATAGCTTGAAGTCAGTCGTGTGCATGTACATCTCAAATCCTTTTATCCAAGGCTGCTTCACACACACGGAGCCCCTTCTGTTACAGGAAACAAGTCAAATGTTACCCAGATCAACCCATACCCATGTGAAGTCAAACCCCCGAATTCAGACCCAGGTTATTTTCCAAAACATAGTTTCTTGAAATCTTTGTGGATACTTTTGGTACGCCTCTACATTCTCCCAGTGGAGACCCCCCCCAGGCACCGTATGTTTTGTGCAAGTGTTTTCATGATACTTCGGTACGCTAGCTGGGTGCAAACCACTAATTCAAGTGAGAATTTCTGGTCAGCTCATTAGCATTAAATTTGCCCCGCCCCCACAGTATCTTTCGAAAAAGGAGATTGTTTGGTCCCCAAAACGGTGAGATTGTGTAAATGGCTGCCAGGATGAACTCCCTGGGTCTTTAAGCTTTCATATGAGAAAGTTGAGGGTTGCCACTTGAAGAATGGCTTCAATCAGACCGCGGAAAAATCACTTTTCGGGGGGTGATTTTGTTTTGCGGGAATAATTAAAAATGTAATAAGTTAACCCACAAAAAATTGAAAAGAAGTTGAAAGATTAGGGACTAGACAATAATTTCATCTGTGTTTCTGAAATCTCAGGGATGTTGTATGCATGTTATTGGGCCCTGGACAGTGCTGATTTTACACTGTTCAATGGGGCTTGAATTAGTGGACTGTACCCAGCTCCATACGCACACGCATAATATACGGCGAAAAGAGTAATGTACATGTACAGTAAGTGTATGTACACGTAAACGTAACGAACGGTGCCCGCATAAGCCTTATCACAAATATCCCTCATGAGTGATTTTTTAACAATACAGGCAACGTGGGAAGAAGAAAAGTGCAAATATCAAACTCTACTGCCCCTTTTCCTTTCCCACAATGCCTTTCTACCATTGTGCAAAATCACGATAAGGCTTGTAATAAATAATGTACACGTACGTACTAGTACAGTAGGCTATATGGTCAATAGTCGGATACATGTAGGGTTTGGAGTTGGACGATCCGCGGAATGAAAATTGTCAGATTTTCCCTTATCTTCGTCTAGTCTGAGGATCAAGGCCAACTTGAATTCAGCCTGCTCGGTGTGTAGAAATTGGTAAGAAGCGTTGAAAATGAGGTAAAATAGTGTTTTAGTGTTATAATGACCACTCCTTCAAGTTCATGTCCTTTCGACCATGGAAGCTGAGCTCGAACAGTCAGACTGTTGTGGCACTGGCGGCAGCCTAGCCGGCAGTACAGTGTATAGCTACATGTAGTACCCCAGACCAGTACAGTACATGTATTTCTACAATACGTCACCCTGCCCTTGGATATCCGTTGCCGAGTTCCCATGTATGTCAATTTCAAAATGACCGAAGGTGTCTAAAGGCACATTTTAACTGTGAAAATGCCTATTCAGAATCAGGACTTCTGCGCTGAAAAACTTTTTGTGTGCGTGAAGTGCGCAAATCTCCACTACAATTGTACATGTATCAATCGTACTTCTACCCTCGGCGCGGGGGCATTCAGCGTCGGCATTATTGCTGCAATTGTTTGCTTTTCTAATACAATTTGAAGAATTTGCAACGGAAATTTAGAATTTGTAACATAAATTTTGAATAAAATAGTTTTAAGGTCTAATGTGATGGTTATAACTCTTGGAGAATTGAAACTCGGAAAGAACATCGATAAAACTTAAAAGAATGAATCCACCAAAAAATGAAATTTGCAATACCCATTTTGTGATTCCTTCGACAAAATGCAAATTTAAGTAATAAGATGAATGTCGAAATTGTTGCAACATTTAAGATTTGGCTATTCATGGAGGAAGGAGGGGATGGGCTCTACAAGTTCTAGTTAAAAAAAGTAATTTCTGTCTGGATTAAAAGGTGTAAGGTGCTGCAGTTACATTGTTCTCATCTGGTTCTGTTGGCATTTGGCATCTTTAATGAGACTGGAAAAATGGAGTCAATTACGAGTAAAATGGAGCAGTACTACAAAATGAGACTTTTTTGTTTCCTCTGAAAACAAAATCATTCTTTTTATTTTTATTCATAAACAAAGTACTTTAAAGACCATCATAGAAACCATTTCATGATATCGTGATAATAGAGACTCCACCTCCACTTGTTTAAGATGTGCACACAGATTTTCTGAGCTGACGCAGAGGAAAATAAATTGAACCACAAACAAAATTTATGAATCAAGTCAAAAAGTAAGAGTTAAACAAGGATAGGATAATTCAGGAAGGTGATCAAGCACTCTTTATTTTGATCGGGAAATGTGAGAATTACTGTAATAATAGAGTAACCCATCCTATACCTATGCCAAGTCAACAAACGAGTCTAGTCTTTGCTAAAAGAAAATGAAAAATTAGGCATAAAACAAACCCAAGTAGGATAGAGTTGTCTTTATTGTATTCACTGGTGGTTATATGGAGGTGGAATTGGGGACTTCATTTGAGGAGGCCCTGTTCTTAAGGGAGACATTTTAAATTTGGGATTCACCTTGGTAGATCATGACTTAACATCATGCTCAATAACTGTACTACTTCTGTCAGGTTGATACGGCAGAGTTTTGAGTGTTGAAGGATACATCAGGGTTTGGGGGTTTTTTAGTGTTGAGGGTTATGGCAGGGCTTTGAGTGTTGAGGGAAATTATGACAGGAAACTCTCTTCCTTTCTCATAGTTTTAACAAATGATACATAATTGGTGGAAACAAATTTGCATGGCCAGTATATCGGGAGCTGGAAAGTCACATTTTCTCACAAATTACAATTTGAACTCCCCTCCCCAAATAAGGTCAGTGCAGTACTGACCAGTTTTACAAGATTAAATGATAAAAAAAAGAAAATGAGGGTTAATGTGTGTATGTAGTGACTAAGCTTGGTCATGTTGGTAGTGATACAGGACTGTACATGTACTTAGCCTCTGTTAGCTCGACTTCAAAAAGGGAAAAAACCTGTCACGAAAGTTGGATATGCCAATTGTTATTCACACCAATTTAGGGTACTCCACCATAACTGACTTGCAGTTTCCTACATCGGCCACTGCTTTTTATACAGTTAAAAAGGATACTTAAACTACAACACAAATACCCACTTTTTTTAGCATGTTGACTGCTGTGCACAATTTCAAAGGGGCATTCCCATTTGCTAAGCATTGTACGCATACGCGTATATTTCACAGTTATTTTTCAGGTGCTTGTTTCAACATGAGCATTTAATGATGTACACCTGCCACACTGCCAGCAGTGTACTTGTACTCTTCGGTGATGCCCGTGTATTCGACAGACCTCGGTACAGATGATGCCACACTTTGTTTACGTACACTGTATGTGTTTTTTGTGGTGCTCAGTGGACCTTGGCCCCCACTGACTCCACAGAAAAGTGCATATGTAAACAAAGTGTGACATCATTGGTACATAGGCCTATTTACTTATAAAAGCCTTTCATTTTCTATGAGTGTATTCGTGGTGGAATTTGGTACACCTATGACTTACGAGTATACTTGTAGTTGGCAGTCAACATGTTAAAGGTACAGTCAATGTCATTCCTGCGTTGTGTTTATTTGAGGCAACAGAAGTGCCCAAAATCTAAAGAAGGGTACAGTACTTTACATCCTGGTCTTATGAACTCTGTGAATCTTATCCATTCCGAGAAAAACAATATTTAGGATCTCGATTTCAAAACAAAAGTTCCAGGGTCATATTTTTCATTTGCACCTGAAGCGGCCGAGACATGCCCTCTTCATCAGCTGATTGCAACCACACAATGTTGCATACTGACTCAGCAAACTACAGCAACTTCATTATATTTGCATTGGGTCATGACAGCAATTTTCAAAAGTGTATCTTTACACATTGGAAATGACCTTCCGCTGTCTTTTTTGTTTTGTGAGCATGACAGCATTCCTGAATGACCAATTGCACAGGGAGCTTACTCCCATAAGTATCTTTAAATCAAGTGTAACTTACAATCATTTCATTCATTAATTTATGGATAGCTACAAATATTGGAATGAACCTATATATGTGTTTATGTACACTACTCATGCCTTTATCTCTGGGTCATTCCATGAGGTTGGGGCACAATTTGCGACGGTGTCCTTATTACATGGATACCTTTTACCGTCTATCATGACCTACATGTATAGAGTAGATCGTTTACTCTCTAAAAATAACACACACCTTTGTATTCAGCCTTGCAAGATGTATAACAATGTCAATTTGGAATCCACACGCAGGGAAATTGCTGTTCATTTTTACGGAACCCATGTAAAAAATTTGGACACCGTCGCAAATTGTGCCCCAACCTCATGGAATGACCCCTCTACAAATGTTTTGAAATGTACATGCAATTCATTACTGAGATACTGAGACAGCTTTTCCTTCAATTTTGAACAGATACAGCATGAAGTCTGTTCAGGTTGCATCTTCAATCGCTGTGAGCATTGTTTCAGCGGTAGGACTTGTCTGGGCAATTCGTCAGTACTATCGCAGAAAGCAACAAACAGCAGTCAAGGCTTTTGGCCTTGAACTGAAGCAGACAGCATTTTGCGTTGATGAAAATATTTATCTGTGCAACAATGGCTCATTTGCAGCTGTGCCTCGTCAACTTCTACAACAGCAGCAAAGGTACGTAATAATCACCGTCATGCATTAGAAATTTGCATCATCTCCCGATGTTTTATGTAAATTCCGCTGTAAGTTAGTCACTACATGATCAAGGCAAACAACATATGGGGTAGTTATTACATGTACATGTCTGTTATGCATGCACACATTACGGACATTTGTAAATATTTTTATCATCACTATGGTAAATACAGCCACTTTCAGGTATACATTGACTGGCTTGATGCCTTGATGTTCTGTGAAAGTTGAAGAGGTACATGTACATATGTGATATTGCTTGCAACTTCAGATTCCTTCAAAGTGGCAAACCTTGGACAATTCAGAATGATTTAACCCGAAAGTTAGGCCAAGGCAGGAATAACTTTTAGTTGACCTGCATGCTAAACTAATTCCATAGGTTTTCAAGTATTGTTTGTAAATGACACGTTTTAAAGGTGACCATGAAAGGTACATGTACTGTACTTGTATAACGCCTGAGTGTGGAACAGGAGAACAAACCTTTTAGTAGTTTGCCTTCCAGCCACTTGTTATACTTGTCAGAGCATGCCTTTAATTATGGATAAATTACTTGACCTAATTTACTTTAGATTGATGGAAGAGAGAGAGAGAAATGCTGAATTGTGGTATAGGAGGCAGTATGACCCCAAGCATTTTCCATCTGAAGGAGGTTTGAATCTCTATGGGCAGGCTGTGATGGCTGTAGCCGACTTTGTTGGTGCCAAATTTGAGAATCTGGTGCTTGTTGAGAATACTACAGTGGGTAAGTACATGTACATGCCGACCGTAATTTTAAATCGAGATTGCTTAAATTCTGGAACATCAACTGAAAATAATTCAGACTTTGTCAACTTCAGAGTGAGCCAGTAAGGTATAGCAATATTGTCATTTGAAACAAAGCAAACATGAAAGTCAGCATGATGGCCACACTGATAGGTCAGACTCGTGCGTGCTTTGCCATCCATAAATACCCTCTGGACACACTTTATTTCAGCCATGCGGTGTTGGAATACTGAAATGGCTCATCGTGAATTACATTTAGAAGCAAACTGTCGCTCAATCTGCACTCGATCTGCACTCACAGTCAAACTAGAAAAATCAGGCTGTATCTATGATTACAGTACTTGGGCCGAAACAAATGTTCAGTTGCACAGGTACATGTATCTCCTCAGACTGTGATTTTTCCATTTTGTTTGCAAAATACAATGCACCGAGAGGTGTTCTTTCTCAGCAACATGTAGCCCTTTGGAAACCACCAGGGGCTATGAACGTGATGTTTCAGGCTCTCTGTGTAGTTTTCACCATACCCTAGACAGATGAACATTCTCAGATTCATCCACTCAGCTTTACAAGAAAGATGTTCGATATACAAACCACTCCCCCTCTTTTTAAAATATGAATAAATTGGACAACCAATATGATTTGTTTCACATCAAGGCAACAAAACATTTCATGGCATTTGTGATGTGATGGTACCCAAATAATGAATGGTTTTAGGTGCAGCAGTCTAAGAATAATGTCATAAGGTGTGAGGCTGAGCGCTCTTTTTCCATGAAGCAAAGCTGAGTAGAGTAGAACATGCATTCTGCCATCTCACAAAATTCTTATCACTTGCAAGAAAAACATTTAGTTTTGCCTGAATAAATCTTCATCATCTGATTGCCAACTTGTAAACTCTAGTGCAATCGAAATCTGAGTAGTTATAAGCCGTGAAATGGGGGCCTGTGCCACGAGTGATGTTTTTATTTTCTGATCTTGCATTTGTGACGTTAAAATGCATACCCATGAGTTGAAAACGAATTCTTTTGTTTTCAATTAACCAGGCATCAACAGTGTATTGAAGAATTTGCCACTGAAGAAAGGGGACAAGATTCTTCTGACTTCACACAGCTATGGAGCAGTCATTAAAACAGTTCAAGTTGTCTGTGAACAGACAGGTACAATACTGGTCGGGTACAGTACAACATTTACTAGTATTTGTAGGGATTTGTGGGCTTTTGAAGGGTCCTTGCTTTCCTGAGTACATAAATTATCATTTTATCCCACTTGGTATTTCTGTTCCATTGAATCACCCAAGAGAGTATTCCAAACTTGTAATAAAAGTAAACTTTCAATGCATTGTGTCAGCTTGAGAAAGATGTGATGGTATGATGTCATATAAGAATGTTACCTTAGAGAAACAGCTTCAACTTGTCTTCAGAGTTAGAACTAGTCATACATACTTGTTTACAAGCCATCTTGCACAGAATGCAATGTTCACCTTTTATTAAACAAGAAACACAGTGGATTATGGGACATCGCACTATTTAATCTTCCTCTCACTAACAAACACAACAAAGGTTTGCTTTTATTTAACATTTGGAATATGGTATCTTTGTGGTCTTTCAAATTGACAATGATCGTAGATCTGTATTCAAAGTTATGCACACGAGCATGTTACTTGTCATCAATTTTAAAAAGCCCATTTTACTTTGGATACCATTCTTTAAAGGGTAGCTGCAATCAATTTGTTCTAATACAAGCCTTCAAATGCACCTTTGTGTCTTGGCAAATCTTATTTTCAACCTTTTTTCACTATTTCAAAGGGTATTGTACTGCATTTTGGGTTTTTATGCTTATGAGTAGTTACATATTCATGAGCAAAATGTGATGTTATTTCAGGAAGAAACTATACTCAATATTACATAGGTTTGTGCACCGACAAAAAGTCCTCCATTTTTGTAGATTTTGCTGGACTCAGCTTTCCCTTTGCTGATTCATCGTTTGTGTGCTAAGCAATAAGCAAGCATCAATCCCTTTCTCCTAAATGTATTCAGTCAGTAAATTGTTGGTTCATAACTTGAATATAAAAGACTATGCTCTGAACTATATCACTTTCCTAGATGACTAGAGCGGTTTTCCGGGAAAACATGGATAATTTTAATTGTTTGTAATATGTGCACTTTTTAATGCATTTAACCTAATAGGAATGTAAAAGAGTTTTCATATATCAAAGGAGAATACCAAGTTGAAAAATTGTGTCTAAGAAAACACATTTCAGCTACACTTTAAGAATATATACATGTATGTACAGCTGAAAATCCAGGGAAGTAACGTACTGTTTTTCAGATTTGAAAATTTCAGTTTCAAGATTGTCCTGTATCGTTTGCCCTCCAGCAATGCTTTATTCTGAGAAGCGGCATCTTTCAAACTATTTAATTCAGTCCAGTATTGCAAACATGCATTTTTAATCAGGGAGTTTCACTGGAACATTGTTGAGGGATTGGCAAATATCCGTGTTAACCATATTTTCTGAGTTTGATACTCCTAAATGTTTAAAGTGTTGGCTGATGTCACCTGAAAGTTTGGTACATGGGGCAAAATTAAACTTACATCCCAATCCTCAATTTGCTCTGTGCCTGTACGGATTGTGTCTGAATGGTGTACGTATTACATAGATCACCAACAGCCGATGTGCTCTTAGCATCAGCATTGAAATTAGAAATATAATGCAATTGTCTGTGTTCACTTCATAGGCTCAGAAGCAGTGACTATCAAGATTCCTATTCCAATCAAATCTGAAGAGGACTTCATCAAGTTATACTCAGATGCACTCGAGCAGCACAACATCAAAGTGGCTGTCATAGACCACATCACCAGCCCCAGCGCAATTCTTTTTCCCTTGGAGAGACTAGCAACATTATGTCATAAGAAGGGAGTACTGGTTATTGTTGATGGTGCCCACACACCTGGCCAGGTGCCTCTTAATCTGGAACAGCTGCCTGTTGACTTCTACGTAGGTATGTTAGCCAGTTACCTTTATATGTGACCTCTTAGCCACACTCAATCACAGCATACAACTGATTAATCATTTCTCTTCCTATTAAAAGCATATTTACATTCACTAAATAGCTGTTGCCAGAGATCTTGTAAACATGCACAGTAGTCTGCATACTGGGAGGTGGCTGATGACTGGTTAATCGCCATGTACCTTGAGTCACTGCTGGTGAACATACAAGCAGAATAATCCTCCATTTGCTTTGTCCCCGTACTAAGTTCATGAAGTCTGTGGAGGTGGACCATTTGTGTTGAACTGGACTACTGTAAAAGGGTGTGCCATACAAATATAACACAGTTTGAGGTTGCGTGGTCAATTTTAGCCCCTTGAGGTGCTGAAACTTGACAAACTAGTTTCTGAGGCCAAGTTCATCAACTTCAAATACCGAAGACTATTCAACTGAAATAATCCATGATAAGTTTGTTCACTATACCTCGTAAAAATCTTGTAGATTTCTGTGAATAAAACATAGTTTTTGTGTTACTTTTTCTACCATATTTTTTGTACATGGATGGTACATGTATACCTATGTAGGTGTACTACAACCACATGACAGTCCCTTAGTGACTCTGTACACTGCATGCCCAGATGCATGAGCACATAAGTTTTTGTGTGTCACATAAGAGGCACTTTTTTAGGGATTGAATAACAAAGGTCTTAATATCATGGTCCCTGTATCTCAAAAATACGTAATCTTTTTTAGGCAATCTACACAAGTGGTTGTTCTGCCCAAGAAGCTGCGCCTTGTTGTGGGTTCATCCAAGCCATCAGGATAGCTTCCAACATGTTATAACCTCACACCATGCATCGGCATCAACCTTAATGGAGAGATTCTGTTTCATTGGAACCCGTGATAATCTTCCATACTACCTAGCTCCTTCAGCCATCAAGTTCCATCAAGACCTAGGTGGACTAGTAAGTGCAATTTGAAGGATCATCTTTTCGTGTTTGTGGCCATGCTATGGTATACATGTAACAATGTGAGCTAAATTGGGATAGAAATTTCACCACACTGTCTATGGCATAAGCTTTATGAAGTGGATGCATGTCTTATTTATCAAAATATTTGGTTATCTGATCTTGAATATAAATCATACTTAATTAGAAAATTAATTAGACAAAAACACTGAAAACGGACCAGAAAAAATGTGACAAACAGTGAAGACTGGACTGAACATCCAAAACATAAGTAAAGAGTTGAAGATCATGAAAATGAGCAGTAACAGGAATAGATACAGAAGTAAAGGCGAGATAAAGAGTGAAGTAAAGGAAGACATTGTCTAAAGATGGGAAGCATGTAACATATCTCACATATTGTGAGAGGAGAGCTCTATTGTAGGAGGACTTGAAGCGGCCAATGAATAGCATTGTTCTGATTTCCCTATCAATGGTGTTCCACAGACGGGGACCATAGAAGCGAAGAGTAGAACGAGAGCACAGGGTGTGTGGGTGAATGGAAAATCTTTATTAAAGCAATTACCTGTGGAAATACATTCATGTTAACTTCGAACCCTACAAATCATTCAACCAGGAAAATCTTAGATATAAATATTTAAATGCAAACTAAGCTGAATTCTTGAATAGCATACTATGTACATGTAAGATGTATCAGAAATCTAAGTCAGTAGAGGGACACCACCTTTCATGTATGTTTAATGCTTAATCTGTACAGATTCCATAGATCCAGTCTGTAGTGTGCTGGTTTGCGCTGGTTTGTTCAGGTCCAGGGATAAATATATGCATGGTAATTACGCTGACAGATATTTTACATTTAATGCAGCTCCTAACAAGATCAGCATAATTTAAGAAGTTTTAATTTCATGTTTTTCATTTCACTTGGTGTGCCAAGGCAGTCTTTTACTGAATGTGTTGATTTATTCTTTTACACTCTATGCATATGTCTAAACAATGTATTCACATTTGAAGAATTGATTGTGCTCTTCAATCACCACAGGAGGCCATTGCAGATTATAACTCCAGCTTGATTGGATGGGCTGCAGATATGATTGCAAAGGCTTGGAAAACAGAACAGATGGCTATCCCAGCTCAAATGAGGGCACCATTCATGGCTGTTGTGGCTGTACCCGAGACTGATGCCTACCCTGGGTGTCCTGACACTTGTGGTAAATTGATGGCTGATGTATTCTACTGTAGTGGAGTAATGGGGGCATTTTCCTTCTTCAACGGAAGGCTGTGGTGTCGCCTCTCAAGTCATGTTTATAATTGTAAGGATGATTATTATAAACTCAGGGACGCTGTGCTGCAAGTCATACAGAAAGATCAGTAGGACAGCACAGGTATACATTATTTAGATACATTAATTGCTTTATATGCTCAAGACTGCGATTTGAAAATTGCATTTATGCATGTATGCAAATTGAGATTGAAATCTGGTAGTACGTGCAGTCTGAAATTTTACGCTTCTTCCATCAGTTGTTTACAAATGCAGTATGCTTTACAAATTTTGGAGCCAAAACTCTGAAGATATAGAGGGTTTGCATAACTGTCATCTTGCAGGCAAAAGCTTTTGTTCCACAGGGTTGGCACAAGGGAGGTTTCCCTATGGAACAAAAGAAATGCTCTGCAAGATGGCTACAGCACAAAGCCTGTATTGAATTATTTGAGGCTGTGGTGTTGCCTCTCAAGTCATGTTAACCACTACCTGCCGGGCGACCCGTTTTCGGGTATATAAGCTTTATATGCAGAGCCGGGGAGTCCGGAATAGAGGGATTAGCGTCGATCTGCGCACTTCCGCGTTTGAAAACGAGGCTGTATGTGTCAGCTTCAATTCTTAATACGATCAGACGATTGAAAGTAAGGAGTTAAAACACAAAATACATAAAGATATGTTAAATTCAGACTTTTCAGGCTGCAAATTTTTGAGGAAAAGTCTTTCAGGATGACTCGACACGTAAAATCAAAAGAAAAAATAACGACAATTGACTGCGAACTAACGTACCTGCGATGGTTGTGTATCTTGTGCAGTGGGCGTGGTTTAACCTAGAGTGGCGTCACACTTACGATCCAGATACTTTATGTACTGTGTGGACTCCGCGGGCGGGCGCGACTTAGTTCAACACAGAGAGCCTCGGTTTCGATGCAGATATGCGCAGACGGCGCTAATGTGAAATCCCTCTATGGGACAAAAGAGTTGGGCCTTATAACAAAAGACAGTGCTCAGCACAAAAGACTCAGCTGCTGGGCATTACCTACATTTTTTCGCTCTCAATAGTGGAGATAATCCAGCCTTGTTTTGAAACAGTATACCATGGTTTGAGGCATTTAGAGCGAGCGGATTACCACAGGGGACAAAAGCACTCCATCACCGCAGCGATGAGCCGCACAGCACCACTGCACGCTAATCTGGCCCCTAGTGAAAAGAGGTCAGCCGTGCACTGTGCCGGTTTCGGGAACAAAAGATTCTTGTGTAACACCGCACAATCTGGGCTCTTTTTCCAAGGCTGCAGGCCTAGCTGAAATATTCAGGAGTCAATGAATTTTACCTGTCAGCTTTAGAGTAGTGACCAAAGAGTCCTTCATTTTGGTATAAACAGCTATTAAATGAAATGATGAATTTTTAAAGAATTTTGAAAACGGAAAATCTTGAAAATGACCCGGCATCTTGTCTTGCTCAAGAAAAATCCATCGGGCAGCAAGTGGTTTTAATTAATAATTGTAAAGATGTGGGGATGCTGTGTTGGTATGCATACCAAGTAACCAGAGTTAGTTAGAAAGTAGAGGTGTACACCTTTAAAATGCATCAATTATTAAACAACTAAGGATTGTTCTATGCATATATATATATAACATGTGTACAAATTGATATTGAATTGGATATTGAATCATCGAATAACATTCTGAAATGTACATTGAACAGTTAAAATGCAAAACAAAATTACAGTTATAAGGCAGTAAATCAGTCAGCTTTTGGGGCAAAATACAAAGTAGATGTGAGCCTATGTAATGCAGGGTTGAGATTTCTCAGCTTTTCAGCTGATTTCGGCTTTTTTTGTTTGGATGTCAGCTTTTTTTTCCTCACTGGCTGTGTACAAAAGTAGATTTTCACATTTCAGCTTCTTTAGTCTTTTTCATCTGTTTTTATCATTGGTCAATCTCATCCTTGGTAATACCAGTGTCTGTCCATTCTGTCTGTCTGTGATTGTCCACAAAATATTTATGTTTTTATTGTTGGTTACCTGGTAATGTAACCATCACAACTGGCTGATATATACATGGCTACTGTGGTCCCTGTCTGGTAATCTTTGTCTGCTTCTTCTTTCTCACCATGAGCCTTAGTTGCTTTTGCCATTCACAGCTTAACTTTGACCATATGGTCAACCGCTGCCGAGTTTGATATGTGGTGCCCTTAGACCAGGGTCAAAGCCCACGTAGCATTTTATTGTATATACAGACCTGCCAGCCTTAGGGATTACAAAACTGTAGTTTGAAACTTCACAATTTTTTTTTTTCATTTAAAAGCTGTTTTTAAAAGTACATATACCGTTGTATTAGCAACATTAAACCTTCATAAGCTCTTCTAGTATAGATAGGTTTTCCCGGCCAATTTATAAAAATGCGCTGTTTAGTTTGTAAAATAAAAATTCAAGTTGGTGTGAATTTTGAAAACGACTTACAACCTGGTTTTATTTTCGCAATACAAGCATTCAACTTCGTTTTGCATCCTTCAGGTAAATAAATGTGCCTTACATTTTATTTGAGAGGTTACAAATAAGTGATGCGTTTTTTTTTGGATGTATTCATTACCAATTGTAACCAATGTGCAATGTTATTCACCAGAAATCTGTGTTCATTCATTCATTGCAAGAAGGCCATGTGTGAACTTTTATGTGATTGTGGCAAAACCGTAGCATAAGAAGAAAAGGTTACCTCAGCATCGGTGTATGTATAGGATTCATACAATAGTCGGTAATTTTAAAGACAACATGAATGGTCTAGTTCAGTCATGAATATTCAAACATTTAACCATTCAATTACATTTCTAAGAATATAACTTCCGTTAGCACACAAACAAATTCAAATTTTTGACCAGCAAACTTTAAATAACACTTCGCAAGTAATTGCCTGCATATTTTGCGAAATAGATTGAGTTCAAATTAAGATGAATGCAGGATTGCAGAGGTACAAAAATGAATGTCAGTATTCTAAATTAGTGCAATATCGAGAAATCAAATGCTGAATTTATACGACTGAATGCACCCTCGCTGAAATATACTTTTCATTTGTCAAATAGAAACAGGGATTTCTATGTTTGTTCCATTTCACTCAAAAACGGATGCTGCTATTAGTAATTCATTTATTCATTCATGTAATTCATTTGTTTATTCATTAATTCATTCATTCCAAAATTGGCAGGGAAACCTAATGTGATTTACTAGACAAGTTTACAAAGGTTTAAAGATCAATTACATGGTATTTCATAATTTCACTATTTGTGAAATGTAGTTATATTTAAAACAATAGGCCTATGTTATGTAAAAACTTGAAGAAAGATTGCTACTGGTGTCAACAGCAGGAGTTAAAGTCTTCCTTTGCAATAATAGTCATTGGCAGCATCCAATTAGAAGCTTGTTTTGATGACGGTTCTGTAATTAAAAACTGTTTCATAATTTCGGGGCAAACGCGCCTGCATGCATGAGCACAGTGCTTGCTCGCAATTAACTGTGAATTAAAGAGGTTGCACAGTGACAGTAAATTGCTTTTACATCAACAATGTTGATCAACACTGGATCGAATGATTAAACTGAACTGTTCCAATTTGAACCCGAGTAAGGTCCTGATAAATTTCAGGCCACAATCATTTGCTGAGAATGACATTTATAACACCGTTTTTCTCTGTTCTTCTGCTATAAAACCCCTATTACAGCTGCTAGGTTAAGAAATTCAAAAGAACAAGATCCATATTATGACATCATCAAATCATTAGATTTGTTTGCCGCCCTCATTGATGTATTATTTTTTACTCCGAGCATTCTCGTGGTGGAACTGAACTCCCCAAATGACAAAAGTCTCGGTCTAGAAGTCCTGGTCTTGAAGGAGTAGGTTTCGGTCTTGGTCTTGTATGCCTTGGTCTCGGTTTCGCTCTTGGTCTCGGATATCAAGGTCTCGGATACAACACTGATAATCATATCTCTGAGAAAATCATTCCATTTCTCATGTAATGCCTATACCATTGGTTCATCTTTTTGAAGTTCCAAGTTAATATTGAAGAACAGTGATGTTGTTTGTAAAAAAAATGAGCAGTAGTGTTTGTTTCAGTCATCTGATACTAGTGATAGTATTGCATTATATTCTGCAGCCTTTGTGGTTACTTTCATGCCTTGTTTTGGTTTTTAAGGCTGTTTTACTTGTTAGCTTAGATTATGAGGTTGATGTGCTTGGCTTTGATATCTTCTTGGTGGGAACTGTTTTCTTACCTGGGACTTAAGCTGTACTTTTCTGTTTGGCAGCAATCACACCACCACAACCAGAACTACTGATGAATCTGGTGTAGTTTTCTTGACAGTTGGAAGCTGAATTATGGAGATTATGTACATGTATGTACCTATTGCCCTAGCAAATCCACTGCTGCTCTTTGAACTCCAGTTGTTTGATATTATTCTTGGCTTTGATTTGACATTTTTTTCTTGGATTGATTTGACATTTTTTTCTTGGATTGATTTGAAATCAATTCTAATCACTCCTTTTTTTTTCTCTGACCCATGACCAGCTTCCTGCTTCACATATGCTAGCTATACTGGCCACTGTTCCAATGATCAGTTCAACTTGAAAGCTTTTCAAGGGACTACAATCATGTGCATATATGAGTTTTAGGATTTTAATTTTGCTGTATGACAAGTGAAGGATCCACAGTGCTAGGGCCCTTACTGGTCAGCCAGGGAGACCTGTTGTCTGAGGATGCCTTCGTGGTGGCATTTTGCATTCTATAAGACAGTTGTGCATTGATGGTAATATCGGTGAAAGTACCCAGAATAAATGGCTTGACACCCCAAAACCAGAGAAAAGAGTGAGAATTCTTATGTTGGTGTGTGAAGGACTCAAGATATTCCCATATTCCCAGACAGCGGACCCTATGGGGCTCCTCTCCACATGAGACAAAGCAAAGCCAACAGAGCTGCTCCACGTACAATCAGTGGAACCGATGGGACTTCTCACACAAGACAATAGTGCAAGGCCGCCAAGTTGCCCTGCAAGTAGGTCATTGGCACAGAGATGCTTTACTCAAAGGTCAGGTTAGCAGAAACAATGGAGCTGCTCATGGACAGGAACTCGCAGAATTGATCCAACAGAGCTGCTCAGCAGACACAAGATGCAGGGTGGAACCCAGAGTTGGCCCAGCATGCGCTACTTCAATGGAAGGGGCTCATGGGATGTCACCACCTTGTGCTTCTGTGCTGGACCGAGCCAACCCCCATAGCTATGGAACCGACAAGGTAAGACCGATGTATGCAGAGCTCCTTCATGTATACTGCCAGGGAGTAGCACGACGGCAAAGCAAAAAGCTGACCCTTTCTCCAAAATACACCTTAAGAATCAAATCAATTTCACATTATCGAGAAGACAACAAATTTTCTTCCCCAAAAATCTGAAAAACGCACTTAATTTTCATGCCTGTGTACAGTCAAACCTCATTAATAAGAGCACTGTCAATACATTGTGCTTATAACAAGGACAATTTTAGGTCCCAATCCTTTTTGTTTTCATTCCTGATAATACAAGGTTCCTGTTATAACAAGGCAATTTGCCCAGTCTGATTAACCTTATTAATGAGATTCAACTGTATTATTTTCTGGGAAAAGGAACAGGGGCCACTTTCAGTCAGCAAATGCCTGTTTGTACGGTAACGCTGCTTCATTTCATGGAACTTTTACACACGAGCGGCAAAAACTTTTATGTACAAGCAGCCTGTCTTGATAAGGTTGTTACATATTTGCCCATGTTAAATGAAATGAAAAAAAAAATTGAGTTTCCAGGGACAAGCAAGTTCGTACCCCCTATTCTCCCGTCCAAGCCTCCCTCAAAGTTAAAAAAAGTGAGAACCATACAATTAGCTCTAGATGCCACATTCTGTTCCTTGGATTCAGAACTTCTACAAATCCTATTTCACATCATCTGAAATTGTGAAGCAACTTGAGAGGTTTTCTCCACAAGAGGGAAATTGGATAATTGCCAAAAAATAACAAATACATGTACTGTAGTTACAAATAGAAAGAACATCAAAGAATATAATGGACATTTAACCCTAACCCCCTAGGCCTTTTCACCAGGAACCATCCTCAATCCTCCAAAATCCTCCAAAATCCTCCGATTTTCAACATGAAAAAATTGCATTCAGCCTCAATCCTCCAAAATCCTCCAAACTTTCTTGAAAATGTTTTTTGGAAGTCTGCCTGCTGCCTCAATCCTTCAAAATCCTCCAGCAATTCCTGTCATTATGTCGAGGCAGTGCGAAGGGCATTCTTGAGCAGTGCGGTTGATTCAAAGGAAATATTGGGCTGAATTTGTGCTTGACTAAGCAAAAACAATACGAGGTCTAATCCACAACCTTCACACATGGCATCCTTCATAATCAGCCATGCACTTTTGCCATTCACCCTCAATCCTCCAAAATCCTCCAAAACCGCCCAAAGGATTTTGGAGGATTGAGGAGGGTTAGGGTTAAAGAAACTGGTGACAATACAACCTAACAGAAAGTCCCTGCAAACCAAAGTCATTTGTTTCACTTGAATATTTTATTTCCCTTTTCAACCCTTGACATCATTATGCATCACTTCTGCAACACAGTTTTACATGCTTATGAAAATTTTGATGGATGAAGTTTATGTTTTTTTTCTGTTTGCCACTGTTGTGTCAATCCTTTCAGACAGTAGTTTCATCAGTCCGATGATCTGTTCAGTTCTTGAAGTGGTCATCTAGTTGCCACTCATTCCCGCACAGCATACAGGCGCTTAGGGTACAGGCGCTCCTTGCGTTGTTGTTTCTTGTTCTTCCTCTGCAGGTCTCTCTTGGACAGAGCACGGCGCTTTGCTCTTGTCAGCTTTCGGCGTAGATCCAGGGGCTTGTACTTGCTGCCCTTGTAGAACTTACGCAGGTTCTCCTTCTGTGTCTCATGGATGACTGTCAACACCCGAGCGATGCCTTTTCGAACGACTCGACTGCATTTAGAAAAAAACATCTGTCATTTATCTTATTCATGCCTAAGAAGGTATTAAAATACAATACCAAATTTGGTGAACTTCAGTGTCCTGAATTTTAAAGTCACTGCCATTTTAAAGTTAAACAAGAGATCCGTCTGGATTATGTGGGTTTACTCAGTCAAGAAAACAAATCAATACTAAATCAGAGTGTCCCCTTGCAAAACCACACAAAGCACCCAACATTAATTGAATTAGGTATTCCATACCATGGACTTAACCATTAACAGAACCCAACTCAAAAAGTAAATTAATTTTGGATTTTTGCCCTGCCTTACGAGTATTTTTAACACTGTACATTCAGTGTATTTCCCCGTAGACTTGTGGAAAAACCACAAGCAGTGTTAAAAATACACGTCAGGCAGGGCAAAAAATCCAAAATTAATTTACATCTCCCCGGCGCAAATCCACCTTTGAAATACTTGTTCGTGGTACCCGCAACTACATCCGATTCGAACCATCCAGCCAACACTGGCAAGCTCAGTGGTCGAGCGATTAAGATGTCTGCACTAGTAAGCAGGAGGTCGTGGGTTTGAGTCCCACCCAAGTATGCTTGTGGTTTTTCACAAGCCCTCGGGGGGGGGATACACTGAGCGTACAGTGTTAAAAATACACGTCGGGCAGGGCAAAAATCCAAAAAAACAAGAAGTGTATACATGAAGTTGTGTGTATCATACATATATCCTTCCCTCTTGCAAAACAGACAATAGTTTTGTGTTAACCATTTACTAAACCGATCAAAACCCTTGTATTTCCAACTACACACATGCAAAATTTGTTCATGTAAATACTCTGCAGAAGCATGACCTGCACCGACTGCCTTGCTACCAGTATATTTTTGGAGAGCTTGGGACGTGGTGATCCCATGACATGTCTTACATTTTACAGAGCTTGGAAGCTTGTCCCCCAGTGACCTTAGCCACCCTGAGTTGGGACAGTTCTTGCTTGAGCTGTTTGAGCTGCTCCTCAAGCTCTTCCTTCTTCTTGCCTCGAAGCTCATGAGCCTTGATCTTAGTCTGTTCAAAAAAACAGAGTCATATTTCACATTAGCCAAGCAAGGTTAGCTAAAATCCTGCATGGACATTACCGAGAGGTGTCTCTAACATGACACCCATTGGCAATTCAGACTTTTCTCATTCAGCGTACCAAAACATTATGTTGATGGGCCTCACATTTATTTGGTTTGCTGACACTTTTACATGTCCCTCAATACACAGTAATGATTGCTGTTGAAATAAAGTGCACAATTATTTCAGTGTCATAAAATTCAAGGTAACATTTAAAAACACTAGTGCCCAGAAAATGTTTGAGTATGTACATTTAGTGCTCTGTACAAATTGTGCAAGCTTTTGTGGAACAGTTCAGAATTTCGATAAAATGACAGACTCTGATCAAACAGCCTTTGGACGTGTTTTATCAAATAAAAAACTTATGTTTTGCCAACGCACAGGCCTACGGTGACAGGCACCCTGACCAGAAACCACAGACTTTTTTCGGCCTAAGGTAGAACTTTCATGCAGGATCTACTGATTACACAGAGCAATCAGGTGATTGTGCAACATAAACACTAACAAGTTAGCCCCACATTTTAAACCTGTTCCCCCTGCGGCAAATAGCACTTAAGTACTGAAAACCTTTTCCTACCAAAATCCCTTAAGCAGCCACCCCTTTCCTGATTGCCTTGGGCCTTTGAAGCCCTAATGTCCTTGACAACTGAAGTCCATGGGTCATTGTATGAGAGGACTTCCCTAGAAAAAGTGATATTCTTGTTTTTAGCAAATTTAAGAGTGCCAGTGTCAAAGCAAAATTGACTGCTAATTTAGCACAGTTCAGTGAGTGTTATTAAATTACTTCAGAAGCGTCAGGGCTTTCTTATCCATGTGGTAATTTTTATGTTTAACCCTCCTTTTCACAGCCAGTCAAAAATTTCTTCCACTTTCCCTCTATAGTACACAGACATACATGTATCATATGTCAATTCACTGAAAGGACAATTTGGTGCAGGTTGCATCTTAGCATAGGAGGGTTAATGACCACTGTACATTACACAGTCACTGAAGCACGGTTTCTCATACAAAACACAGCTATCAGGATTTCAATGACCATTACATTTACACAGGTGCTTTTCCAGAGCTCCCTCAAATTTACATATCCTGTCAGGAATGACTGGAAGTCTAAAGTGTTTTCTAACAGCATGACATCGCTGAATTCCATCCACAAACTGTTAAGACCTATGAATGAGGCTTTCTTCATGATTTGGACAGGTTGATGTACCGTACACTGATTACATAGTGCACACACATCCAAGCAAGGGGAACCTAAGCTGAAATGCATAGCAGACTAGCTCTCAGTTCATGTAGTCCGTCTTGGTCCCATAATGAGGCTCGATTACTGGACTATAGTGTATTTATCACCCGTCAAATGATCGAAAACGAATGGCTGTGTTGAGTTGATAAAAATAGAAACCAAAATTTCACAGCCGAAACAAACTAAAAATCATGCACGTTGATAGATCAATGACCAGATCGGCTGAGGAAGCCGTATAAAATGGGGCTCATGGAAGCATTTTCACAGAGTCTCCACTTTTTGGGTAGGCCATCGTGGGGCCAAGGATACTTGCCACAGTTTGGGGCTACTCATGGCCTAAAGGCTGAAGTGAAAAGACATGCTAGGCCTACCTCAATCACAGTCAGGATAACTTAGACTCTAAAAATCGACTTTTTAAACACTTGGACATGGTCAGGCGATAGTTGAGCCCAAGGCTCATCCATATACCTTCTGCTTCCATTAATTTCACTCAAAATAGCTCGTTCGTTGTCCTGTCCCGAATCAAAATCCTCCAAATTCACCTCCAAAATGGTCCTTAAACTGTCTGATGTGCTTGGCCAAGGATTAAGCGAAAATCTGTTTCCTGAGGAGTGCAACATTTAGTAGCTAGCTACATGTATAACCACAATGAGTCATAGTATGTACAGTGAATGTTGCACTTCTTAGGAAACAGTCATGGGAATACATGTACCAACCCTGCATGTTTTTTGTGAATGGTTCGCGAGCTCAGTGCACGGCTGGTGCGTCATGTCATCATTTCCAGGTACATTAGCAAGGGCGTTTCCGATTTGAAGGGGAAATTTCTCTTTTCTTCCCACATGTGAGTAAACCTTACCAGACATTACTGGAATCTCTGATTCTCAATTAATCCTAGGACGGATGCATTACGCAGTTTAAGGACTGTTTTGGAGGTGATTTCAGAGGATTTTGATTTGGGATACAACGCTTAACAAGCTGAAATGAATTAATGGAAGCAGAAGTATATGGACGAGCCTTGGACGTATTGCCCAACACTACAAATGATGGAGGGCACTGCTTAATATTTGAAAATGTCCAAATTTCAAAAGTTTCAAGTGAAGCCAGCAATTCAATTTAATCCATTGAAATCAAGAACGAATAAAAAAGTTTTACAAAAATATGAATTTCAAGCTTATCAGTTAATATCCACACTCCTTTTTGTGTACAAACATGAAAAAAATAATCAGTCTGCTCTGCATTACACATGTAACCATGGTTAAAAAGTCTCACAACATCCCGCTTCAATTTGATTTTTCTTTGCTTTGCAGTGTCCCATGGAATCCAAACCCATGGAGGTAGAATTCTACCTCCATGCCAAACCTATATGAAATATTTCTTGTGACATCCTCTCCAAGATCACTTCAAAAGTAAGCCTAGGCCTAAGTACACGTAGGCTAGCCTAAACACAAAAAAATTCATTAACCCAGGCTCCTTATCAGACTGTTACTCAGACATGTCAGACTACTTAAATTAGAACATTTTATTGCTTTTAGATACCTGATAGGACACTGTAAGGAAAAAATAGTGGCGTCCTTATGCGGAATTCGTTCTCTATGTAAGGATTTTTGTTACTTGATGCAGGGAGTAAAACCAGAGTTGCACACGATAACGACCTCGCACACATCACTAATGAGAGACATGACAGCGCACTAGAGTGTACGAAGTCTTCAAGACAAAATGCAATTTATATACATTATATCTAAACTTCAAAAAGACAAAATACATGTAAAAAGGTTCCTTGATCTTTAATCAAACACATACATTTTTAACACTATTTTAATCGTTCAACTGTAAACGATGTTGAGGGATTTTTCACACGTTCAAAACTGCTCACCATGGTGAATTCAGTCTGTAAGGAAAAAAGACCGAGGTAGGTCAATGAACTGAGAGTCTTGAATCCAGACTTCGCGTGACTGAATTTCATGTGCTTGGACGGGAAGGGTGGAGACCAGTACCAATGACCAATGTGGATAAAAAAAACAGTCTGGGATCGGGTGTTTATTCGAACGAACGTACTCACATTTTGGCGACCGCAATCAGACGTGTCAAAAGGAGGAAGTTGTGAGCTTATCGTACGGGTGCACCGGTACATGTATACGGTACGACTACGAGTACTTTTTGTGGGGAGTGTCCACCAAAATATCGCCTATTTAGTTTTCTATTTGGCAAGTGTTGCACGAAATGGCCAAAAATACTGGACGAACACAGTTTCGAAAGGTGGATGTTGATGAGTACGACGAAAATAACTATCAAGATGAACAAACAGACGAGGAAGGGAAAGGACCAGACGAAGGAGAAGTGCAGAGTTTCCTGAACCAATATCCTTGCTTTATAATGTTTACCACTGTATGTAGTTGGGGTTTACATGTACTGAACTACCGATGTATTGGGCTTTTAACTTGTGAATTTGTACAAGTAGGCATGTAAGCAGTCATAGTTGGGGAAAAGAACTCTGTATATGAGACCACCGTCATGATCGTAATCAAGACTGGTTTAAAGTTTCCTGAAGTGAATACCAATTTGACCACAAAGAGTTTAACTCGAAACGGGCCGTGCATGCCGGGGGACGTGTGGGAGGGCATAAATCGGGCCCTCAACTTTTTCTCTGATATGTCCACAGTGCATTTTTTTTCAGGAGCTGAGGCTTTAGGAGTATTTATAGTAACACTTTATTGTCATTTTGACACCAATTTTGTGAAAATTGGCCATACCTTTCTTGCGCAGCCCCACTTTTTCTGAGACAGGTCAGCAAAATCTGTATATTTTTTCTACTTGTGATACTCAATGCATGCGGCTGGCATGCATTTAGCCTTGAACTTCAAATGACAACAAAAAATTTGTGTGATTGACTTCAGACTTCACATTTGTAATAAGGAGTGTCTGCACATGCCTGCCAAGTTTCCAACAAATCGAGCACGGCACGCCACAGCACAGCCAAGTTTATTATAGGGGGCGGAATCTGCCCCTACCCAGCCAGCTGTAAGAGGTACCAAAAGAACTCGGCTCTCTAAGGATTATGATATCACTTACATGTAGATTTGTACTTGTGGGTGCTTTACCTTTTGAAATTGAGGTTATGTACATTAGCCAAAAGTTTGTTTACCCACATCTCAAGGGTTGGGTGCAGTTTCATGGTGAAGTGACATGGACCCACCTTTTGTAACTATGGAAATACATTTAAATTTTGCAAAACAAGTTTCTATTTTATCCTTAATTGAATAGTGACAGCACAAAAAACAATCAAGAGGCACTGAAAGCAGTGTTAAGAAATCCACCGATAGGCTCAAAGAACCCTGCTGTGAAGGTATGAGCAATGGGAAAACAGTGTCACACCCTTGTTAAAGGCATCCACTTCGACCAACATGTGCATACATGTCATGGCAGGACCTTACACATGTTCATTTTATGCGTACAAGTATTGGTAGCCAGTCACATTTTATTTCTTGTTTGAGGAAACCTTTAATAAATAGTAGAACCGCATTCAAATTCGTGGAGTTGGTTTAAGAGTGGACAAAAGTGAGAACAAGGGTGTTTTTGGTCAAAGTACATGTACATGTATGTGAAGGTAAAGTGTTATGCTATAAAATTTGCATGAAATACATGTATACATGTCAAACCCTACATGTACATACACATTCATTGTACATGTACATCCCTGGCAAATGTTTGTCTTTTAATTAAAGATGGATACATGTACGTACATGTATAGAAGTGTCTCCATGCCTTCTCCAGTGGTGTAGTCAATTACATTTTCATTTGTACAGGTACAAGCATGACTACAAATAAAACTAGTTACATATTCGAGAGTACATGTACATATGCACATGAGCACATGACATTGTAGAAATGAAAAGGAGGGATTTCTGCAAAGTTTTTGAAAGCAAAGACATAACGCTGTAGACATGCTCTCATGCCTTCAGACATTCATTTCTTTCAGATTCCATTTAGAGTTTGATACTGGCATTGTCTTGCAAGTATTACTTGTACTCAGGACAGATCACATAAAGTTTCATGAATGTCATGGTGTCAAACAGTCATTCTTGCATGCCTTTCCATGTTTCCCATCTTTGGCATCAACTTGGAAGATGTGGTGCATGGAGTACAGTGTAAACATGAGATTGAGGAGCCAAGTAGTACAGCAGTATAGTTTGTTTTGTGTTTCTTGCCTTAGCACAGTATAATTAATCTTTAAAGTAATGATATCACGCTTTATTTACACGTATGCTTTCCTATGGCAGTGAGTTTGTATGCATCCCATCCAGTCCCCATAGGAAAGCCCACGTTTTGACTGCAGCCCTGTGTTCATGAATGAATGATTCTGTAAAAAAGTGAAACATTACGATTCAGCCAATTAATATGGAAAATGTTCATATAGTGACTGTCATTTACAATCATTGTTGTAGTCAAGTACATTTCCGTGATTACAAGTACTTCTGCATTAGTCCATGAAAATATTTCATAACGTCAAGTCTATTTTCATGAGCACAAGTACATGTACTAGCACAGGTATTACAACACTGGCCATCCTACCCTAGCTCTGCCACTGGCAAGGCCTAAGATGACTAAACTTAGAAATTCTTTTCTTGTTATTTACTATTTTTTCTTTCAAAGTGAATATCTTAGCCAAAACACAGTTCTGAATATTGAACACATTGTACATGTATTTTTTTTTATTTCATCCCAGGAACCTGTCCTATAATATGTAATTACACAGGGTAATTCATGGTATTCGTGTTGTAATCTTAACAAATTGTATACAAATATTAAATTGTTTTATCTGCGTTTGCAGGATAAAGCCTTTCAACTTGTTATGAGAGTTCTAACAGCCTTCAGAGCCAGTGACATTGAGAAAACAGTCAATAGTTTGGATCTTGATGTCATTGACATTCTGATGAAGTACATCTACAGGGGCTTCTCTGAGCCCACTGAAAACAGTAGTGCTATCTTGCTGACGTGGCATGAAAAAGTAAGTCATTTTTATTGCCTGCAGTTTGTTTCCAACAAGCGTTCCACTGGTCAGTCTTTACAAATTACTTGAAATTTCTCAGTTCTTGAAAATGATTTCATACCAGATGCACATTATCCATAACAAGTGTAATGCAACAATGCCAATTTTGTTGTACTATATTTTTAATGTTTTCGCTTACATTTGAAGGTGGGCTGGACAACTGCAATTTTGATGACAAATTTTTTAGGAGCGTTGAAATTTTCAAAATAAGAAAGATAGAGGGAAGTGGAAATAATTTCCGTCTAGTTAACATTTCAATGAATATTTTTCTTTCCATAAAAAAGATTCAGTTTGTTGGAGTTAAGACTGTTACAGTTTGCCATAACATTTACAGAGAAGTACACATACATAGTTATTTCTTTGGTACATATTCAAGCTCATGTAAAAATTGGATAAATTTTTAGCCACATCATATGACATGCACATGTAACATCTAAGAAGGTGAACTGGAGCTCTATGTAAGTCACCTTTTAGTGTGCATTGTGAAAAATGCATGTACAAGTCCTTTTCACTCTTGGTTGTTTTTTGCAGGCTTATGCTGTTGGAGGCCTTGGATCTATTGTACGTGTTTTGACCGATCGGAAAACTGTTTGAGAATTTGTAGGTAAAAAAGCATGCTCCTTATATCGACCAAATGAAAATACATACAGGCACCATACCATGCTAAGGACATGAGTACCCCATCCCACAAAGGAAGTTGGGTTAGTGAATAATGTAAGACTTATTTAGATCAATTATGTTATGCCATTTTCTAGTGTTCATTTACAGATACAAGACCTTAGTGCATGTCATATTCTGTGAAGGCAGGACTGCAAACAGTGATAGAAGTTATGCTTTGCTGGCATCTCCATGGTGTCTCAGAGGCTGTTTGTGTTGTTTTAATTTAGTTACAACGAATGCGCCTAAGAATTACTCAAACCTTGAGCCTATCCCAGTGATAAAAACCTCTTGCCCTCTCAGGACACGTTAATGCAGAACCTCTTTTGTCAGCATAGTTTTTTTCTGTTAAAATACACTGCATTTGGACTTTCCTATGGAAAACAATTGTACCTTTTTGTCTGTATTTGGAAAACATCAAATAGCTGGGTCAATACTTCAGATTTTTAGAATGGAAAATTCTAAAATGGAATATTGAATACTTTTGTCACAGTGTCGTGATTTTTAATGGGTGAATGAAGAGCAAAGTATATATAAGTACTGCGCATCAATTTCTTTTGTTTTCAGTGGTTGCAAATGATTGTATTATCTTTGCCTGCATTATACAAGCTTATGTGTAGATCACGTTTCTTTCAAACTGGTTAGCAATGCCTTTACTGTGATGTTGTCACTCCATTATTGCATGTTTACAATGTAAGTTTTGAATCACTTGAGTGAAACACGGTAAAGGTCTCTTTATCATTATACCATGTTTCCTGTATTTCATTCACTTAAAACTAGCTGAACCCCGCCCTTGATTTCTAACACGGTTTTACACAAACTAAAGAAAGTGTAACAGTCATTTAGTACATAGTACATATACTGTACATGTATAATACATATCGGCTTACACCTACAATAACATCTTTTCTTGTGAACTTTACCACTTTACTATGTTGAAATTTTTCTCTACCTTCGACATCTCAGTCATGTTTTTGAAGAATAATTGTGACCATATTGGATCAGTATGCACTGGGTCAAAGGCCTATGAAAACTTCTAGTACCTTTGAACATACATGTACTTAGTTTTTGTTTAATGCTCTTTCATCTTGGTCTAGGGAAGTTTTTTCAGACTTGTCAGAATAGCTAGTACAGTAAAGCTTAGCATCAATGTGAAATGTAAGGCTCTTGCGCTTGACAGAAGACTGGTGCCCTAACACTGGCAAGTTACAGCCTATATGTAGAGTTAATCCAGCCCTGAGTAGACATCAAGAGTACCTGTGATTGGCAATTATCGATGGAAGCTGCGCAGTGCGCTAACATGACTGTGCTAAAATACTGTTTAATCTCGAAAGTATTTGTAGTGGCATTATTTTGTCACAGAGTCAAAGTTATTTGAAAATGCATGTATCTTACTCGGTTATCACTTAGGCATTACTATCTTTTATGTACACTTTTATAAATATGTAGGGTAACTGGGGGAAATAAACTCACCAAAGAAATTCCACGCAGGTTTCACGTATCCCGACTGAATGTATTGACTTACTCTGTGCAGAATGAAGTACTTAAAATAATTTTCATGTCTATCATTTCCTGGAACAATTAAAACAACAGTGCTGTTTGTTTAGAAGTTTTTACTTTTGGACAAACAATCTTTTGGATTCTTTGAATTAGTGGAATTCCTATTAACAGTTACTTTTGGAACACTCACTCCTTTTGAACGAATTACAAGATAAAAGAGACTTGTGGTTCCTGCATTGAAACACAGCTCACCTGAAGAATAATACACTCAAAACACCAACCTACTTACGGAAGTATATAAGGACCACACGCAAAACAAATTTTTCGAGTTATCTCGCCGCGGCAAGTTAATTTGTTAATTATCTCGTCGGGGCAAGTTATACGCTCTTTGTGCGGCGTCATACTAACATCTCTTTGCGGTGAAAATCTTCATGAGATTTCTTTTGAATGTTTATTTTTTGTTGGAAATTACAGTTTGCTGAAAACCAAAATCTCCTTTTGTTGTAAGCAATTAAAAACCCATTCTCACTGCATACCCCCCAAGAATACATTTAAAAAGCGATAGCAGGGTAAATGGGACTTACCGTATTTACCGCCGCGGCGGGATATCGATTTGTCGCCGCGACAGGAGCGTATGAACTCGCAGCGGCGAGATAGGCGAGTTAACTGACCTCAGCGAGATACTAACTCGAAAAAAAATTGTACGTGGCCCCTATACGATTCTGTAATCTAGGGCTACACAATATCCTCAAAATTTGATTTTTTTGGCATGATTATCTTGCAAGGGAACGAAATTTGGGGGAATTTAACATGAAATCAAATGGTTGGATCGCTAGTTACGAAACTACGGAAGCATATTTAGGACATGACAAAAAAAATATTTTTCGCTCACTAGTTCACCCGGGTGGATTACTATTCCACCAGGGCGGATTACTACTTCGCACGGTCGGATCAGTATTCCAAAAGATTTTTTCAGTCTTGTCCTAAATGCGCTTCCGTCTGAAATAGTATCGTTTGATGTTCAATAATCACCCTCGTTTTGGGTGTGTATAATCGAGGAAATGAAAACTTGCCCACCCGTGCTCGTGCAGCCCACCTGTGGCCAGTATGTGTACGGGATTTTTTTACACAGCATCCTGGGGTAAGCAGGCTTGATTTAAGGCTAGAATCTCAGTGCAATAGTTTTCTGTCACTTCGAAACACTCTTTCTCGCGATAAATGTTTGTTTTCATTTGAGTCTCACTTCGACTAAGAAAACGGATTTCATTTTAAAGTGCATGCAGTATAATCAAAATTTGTAGAATTTTATTTCGACCTGACTGCAGTAAATTCGTGTTCTATGGAGACTTATCGCGGTAAATTCGTGTTATATGTAGACTTCGTTTTGTTACCTTTCATTTTAGCGCTTTGGTGATTACTGTTCCTGATAATATGAATCGGTACCAATACAAAGTCTTAATGCTTGAATTGCGAACTTAAAGGTAAAGAATCGATGAAAAATCACCAAAACTACTTTATGTTTTTCTTTGGCTGTTTATTGATACGATAGAACGCTGTGTACGGTCTATAGAGGGTTTGCGTGGCTGCCATCTTGCGCGCCGGTGCTTTTGTTCCAAAGGGTATGCACAAAGGAGGGTTCCCTGTGGAACAAAAGAACTGCCTTGCAGAATGGCTACCACACAAAGCCTCTATGCTCCTATAGTTTTTTCTGTCCAATTTTGTTAAATTAGCATTCAAGTTAAGGTAACCAGAAGCATACAGATCCTGACAGTTGTTCCAGTTGTTGGTTCTAGATTTAGGGCGTCCATATTGTTTTAATATTTAACAGCTTCATTTTGAACTTATCCAGTAGTGAAGTTCTTGCATTCGTTTTCACTATTCGTTCAATTTAGTGGTCGATTACGAAGTGATTTATTTGCAAGCGATTTTGTGTTTTCGTTTAAATCCTTCTTTAGTATTCTTTAGTACGTTTTGCATTCAAGTAAGTAGAAGTGAAGACAGATGCAAGATTTCATTTTAATTTCACCTTCTAATTAGATATCTCTTGTTCATTTTATTTCAACTTTAACAATTTTCCAAGTATGTGTTATCACCTTTCCAACTGAAACTTGAAAAATTCAGACAGAGGACACAGGAAATCAACGTAAACTTTAAAACAGCAAGAATAACATTGTTTTCTCTTACCGTATCCTTTGTCGTCTTTTCCCTAGCTCGTTTCTGTTTTCTTGTTTTCTTGTTATTTGAGTTCTTTAAGCCTCTGTATTTTCGCGTGGTAAGGACTTTGACAACGATTGCACTATATTCTCTTCGTTGGGATGATGACATCGACTTTTGCGGCACGCAGCAACATCTCCATGCACATCTCTACTGTTGTACAATCCATTCCTATTCGATATGGCTTTGGTAACATTTCAAATGCGACTCCGCTATTTAGGAAGACCATTGATCCTTTTAACTATCATCTTGAAGGCAGAGTGGGCCATTTCAGCACTGCTGAGAAATGGCGGGGAAGAAGAACATATGAAGCAAGGCATGAGACGGAGAGAACCCCCCCCCCCGCTTTGTGTTGGTCATTGTTTTACTGGAATCTGAGGAGTTCTTTTCAGACAACTAGGGGGATGTGTTAGGTAACAATAGTCTACAGCGATTGGACATGTGGGGGGTACCCCTTGGTCTCATTTCTTGCTGGATATAACTTTTCTTCGGTACAGAAGCGTACTTCTGTAACTCCTTACTTTTCTTCAGTACAGAAGCGTATAAGGGCCACTTGCAAAATTTTAAATTGTTGAATGTCTATAATATCGCCTCACCGCGGCGTCAAATTGACATCTCGGTGAATATTTCAGAACTTCAATATCCTATTACGTACCGTCAGGGTGGAATGCAGTAAGATTGGGTCTCAAGTTGCTTCAAACAAAAGAAGATTTTGTAGTTCAACAAAGTTTGATTTCCAACAAAACAAAAGAAATCTCCTTTTGGGTCTGAATTTCTATTCAGAGGAGGGGTAGACTGGTTTTAGTTCCTTCTTACAGTTCCCAAAGCAAGCAGCCTTCAAAGTTACATTTGAACTGTCAACAGTCGAAATCTATTACATGTAATTTGTCCTTATATGGAGAACAAAAACACCTTTAAAAATGCAACGCATGAAATACCTTGCAGCTTTGGACGCTCAAAGTATTTTAGGTTACTCTGTACCCAAATCCCGCATTACACACACATCAAAATATTAAAATGAACTTCCTCAAACAAGCATTCAACAAAAAGGTTGTTTTGCCCTTCTCTGCACCCTGCTCTAGGGGCGGTTTTTGTCGAGTTAACGCATGGATGTGAGGTCAAATAGCCTGGGCATTGTAACCCAGTTGATGAAAAAAATGTATGTTAGTGTCCCTTTTCACCTTCTTTTCATTTTTCTTTTGGCCTGTTGAAATCTCCAAAATGATAGCCAATTTTAATGGTGAAATAATATAAATGTTGAGATTTGGTCTGAAATGACAGCACAAATTTGCTAAAAAATATGCATGGGCGTCGCCAGGATTTTTTTGGGCTAAAGCAATTACATTTAACTGCAAGAGGGGGTCAATTTTTTCTCAAGCTAATTGATTCAGGCCCCCCTTGGTGGTGCTTGTACGTAAATATTACGATTTATGTAAGTGTAAATGAAAAGACACTGTAATCCTTTCAACATGTAGTCTACGTTTGTGTTGGAAATCAAGCTTTGTTGAAATACACAATCCCCTTTTGCGTTGAAGTAATCTGAGACCCAGTCTCACTGCATTCCACCCTGATGGTATACAGTACCGGTACTTGACTTGACTTCGCACGGCCAGATAAGTGACCGCGGTAACCAACTCTCTGTAGGCCTGTCGGTTTGAAACTAGGTCCATCAGGTCAGTCGAGGGCATCCACGAGGACGGCGCCAGTCATATGGTGGAGGCCTGCTGGCGGATAACAGGATCTGCCTTGCCCGGACTCCTTCTGAGAGCCGGACGACGTGGCCAAGAAGCTTTGGTTTCCTCCTCTGGATAGTAGTGCTCACCGAAGGGGGGTTTTACCGGCCCGTCTATAAACTTGCTGGTTAGTGATGAAGTCATGCTGGTGAATCCCAAGAATGGTGCGGAAACAGGTCCCGTGAAAGTCGTCGACCTTCCTGGCGAGGGCAGCTGTCAGTGTCCAGGTCTCACTGTAGTATATATAAGGGCTGGGAGGACGGTGGAGTCCAGGACGTGGGGCTTGGTCTTGGTTTTAAACTTGGTGCTGTGACAGACGGGAGACATCCTCCCAAATGTCCCTCTAGCGAGCTGCAGACGCCGTAAAATTTTTGCCTCTGAAGAGCAGTCAGAAAAAAGCTTGGAGCCCAGGTACACGAACTCCTTGACTGCTTCAACATCCTGACTGCCAATGGGAATTGAAATACGTGGAGGTGGAGAAGAATTCAAGAGTGACTGGATCTTCGTTTTTCCCCAGTTAATGATGAGGCCGTGTGGTGAAGCTTCCTCGGAGAGTACGCTGAGGGCCTCTGCGATTGTATCTAAGAGATCTGCAAAGATTACCAAATCATCAGCACAGCACAAGTCAGTCATTTGGAAATGGTAGTTGACACCAAGGTTTGGGCGCCGTCCAGAGACTTGCTAAGCCAGTTATCCACGCCAACATTGAACAGTTTCGAGGCGGCCACACATCCCTGTCGCACACCAGAGGTGGTGGAAAACGGGTCTGATAGAGCTTCCTCTGCCCTGGCTCTGCACGTGGTAGCCTATTGGAGTACAGTGCCTGGAGAAGCCTGGTATACTTTGGAGGGACTCCAATTCCTTGCATCAGGAGCTAGAGAGCGTCTCGGTCAAGCGAAACGAACGCAGCCTTCAGATCTATGTAGACGGCTAGAAGGGGACGCTGGAATTCCCTTCGTTGCTCTGCTGGGAGCAACGAATATAGGATTTACATGTATATAATATAATAGGATCTATTTAAGTACTGAAAGATTCGCCGCGGCGAGATGTCAATTCAACGCGGCGGCAAGATCGTATAACTCGCCAAGGCGAGATAGACATTCAACGATTTAACTCGCCGCGGCGAGATAGTAACTCAAAAATGTTGCAAGTGACCTTATACGCTTCCGTATTTCCGTACCTCGGACGAAACGGATGAACATCACCGTGTTTTGATTCATGACGGTCGTGTGTACGTCAACTTAAACGGGCTTCAAGACGGAAAGGATGAAGAGATTTGTGTCAGAGTAGTTTTGACCATCTTATATGAACACTTGAGGGTAAATAACATTGTAGGCAAACGTGATCTTAGTTAAGAGAGGGAAGTTTCAGTGGAACTGTTGAAATGACTTGCTGACACTGTGAGTAGACCTGTTAAATGCACGGTTTACTTTGATGGATGGCTGCGACGGGTACACGCTCTCTTGCCTATTGTGCTGTAGCATGTAATGGCAATTTGTTGTGGATGATAGGCCTAGCCCCTTCACTGCAAGAAACGGTACATAATACATTTACTTCATGTTTTAGTCTAATGCACATATATTGAGTTGACATGAGTGTATTTGTTTTCACTCTTGTTGGAACAGTTCTTCAAAGAAATTGACATTGAGTATCAGTCTGAGCTAGACATCCTGCGGCAGTTCATATTGGTCCCTGAACTATCTTCAAAGCAAAACCACCTAATTCTGGTGAGCAGGGCAGTGCGTCACCCATCGTTCAGTACTCCGTGATTTGTCCAAGTTCTACTATATGCAGTCGTCGCAAGGATAAATGGAGCTAGGAGATATTAAAGCAGTAGAATAGGGACTTTAGATCCTTTGCTCTTGCAAAACGTAAGCCCCCGGAATGTCAAATGTCAAATGAAAGATTGTGTATAAAATTGGAAATTCAAAAGTGCCGAGTACAACACAAAACAACCTTTGAAATTCTTCATTGCCAACTTTGAGTCTTAATTGGTACTCATGTTACCTTAAAACAGACTGCAGTTTAACCACAGTGTTTTGGATTTCACAATTTCTGGAAGATTTTGCAGGCTCTTAGAAGTCAGTTTGCACCCTCAAGTACAAACAACTTTGTGGAAGGTCACAGCGCGGTCACCGAGGTAAATCTCTGATATCAAAATCCGGGGAGCGGCGACAACCGTGTGCTCGGAAGTATATACAACGTATTACAATACCGGAATTGGGGCTGCGGAGCGTGCGCTCGATTTAGCTCGATTGCAAGTACACCTAGCCTGGCTTTTGTTGGACCATGCTTGTCAGACTGACTCAAGCGAACAAATGCTTGCTGGTTGTTCACAACTCCTTTCTTTCGGCTGTGACTCTTTTCACAATGTCTGTTTTAAGCTAGAAATAAAAAAGATATTAAAAGTGCAAATAAAAGTTCCAAAAGTCGTTCTTCTTTATCGGAACTACCAAATCCATATTTCAAAATACCACTGACTTTCTGATTTTTTTATTGTCGACCTTTGTAAAACAAACTCCGACTTCTTCTGCAGATTGCCCTGAGGTAAGGCTCCTTTTTCCTGCGAACAGTGAGACTATCTGTGTGATTACCTTGTTTGCTTTCAACAGTCTTTCTGCAAAAGTGTGTTAGTTTAAAATATATTTATCTAATCAAAGAGATTTCTGCAAGTTTGACGGTCAGGCCTTTTAATAATATTCTTTCTTTCATAAACTAATTTCTGTGCTTAAAAATATTTTCACAAACCAACAACATATCGTGGGAAAATTCTAATAGAAGTGTACTGGAAATATTTGATTGTTAATAACGTAGTTATATTTCCGTGTGTAATATCATTTAGTTAAAATTGTTAAGTTATGTAATGTCTGAGAACGGATTTTTTCATTTATAATATAGATAAATAAATGTAACTTTATCACACATATTGGTATAATTTTGACATAAACCTAATAACCAGGTAACCCCGAGTTATTTTAGACGGAATACTTTTTAACTGCCGAATAACATTGCACAATTTACCTAATCGCTTTTATCGGGATATAAGTTAATTTAACGTGCCCGTTTTAATAGTAATTTGTATGAACAAACTTACCAAACACCTGTTTTGTAAAAATACCTAATTATTAGAAGGTTCGTATAGCACATTGCTGATGTGTTAAATTTTACACGACCTGTTTATTTTTGTCTGTGTGTGCATCTTTAAAGACCGCCTTACGGCGTTTGAAGCAACTGCCGAATGTCGCCTTCATGTCGATTTCGACGTTTTAAGCGGGTTTTACACACTACACAAGCTCTGTAGTTGGGGAGCTCTAAAATATATATAGGGACAACACTCATCTGCTGATGATTTAGCTGAATACATAGAGATTTGGTTTAAAGAACATAAACATGACCTGAAGACGGCGGTAAAGACCTTTACTAACAAGTAAAAAAGTTCAGTAAAATTGCGATATTGTCGGACTTTCAAAGGTCTAGTCTTAGGCCTATGTATCCTCACGTAAGTGGTCCCACAAATGTTCCTTCCATGCAAGTGTACTACGTTGGACTGTCTACCAAGAACATTCATTTTGCGAGCAAAATCCTGGTCCTTTTCAGAGCCATTAACCACAAAAGGGAGCCATTATATACATGGTGCTACTGCCAACTTTTCCCTAGTGATATTGCTTTGTAATGTCTGGAATAAGAATTCTCACGTTGATTTCCTGTTTTACAGCCCCGTGGCACTGAAAGCTACATGTTGGCCTACTGTGTGATCCCTTTCACTACAATAACCCTATCAGAAATGACTATGGGAGTTTTGTTCAGGTGACCGTGACGTCACGGTCTTACATGGGACCAAACCCTAATTTTAATGGGCTATCTGGCAGCGCAACATTGGTTCGTCCCTTGTGCTTGTAGTTCTCGCGTTCAGATTTCAAGGGAACACGATCGTGAGCCAACCCCGAGGAAGAAGGGACTGGTAAGCGTTAATGAAGTACTCTTGAATTTCTTTAATCGCCCCATAATTACAACGATTTATCGGTGTGCTCAATTGTTACTGCTATTTTAACAGGTCGTATGAATAAAAAGTAGCATTTGCTTTTACTACAATTTTTGAAGCATTTACTCGTGTTTGTATGAATAATAATGAAGCAAACGCTTTTACTTTAGTGCAATTGCTAAAAAGTGAAAGTATTTACTTTTTACTCTTTAAGCTTGTGCTTTGACATTTTTCAAGACTGGGTGAGGGCAAACTTGAAAACGAGGAGCATATACTAATGTTTAAAATGGCAGCGTTCATGAATGTCATTCGAAAGGAAAAGCTGTATGCCTTTAGAGAGGAATCTCAAGAAACCAGAAGCAGGCAGTTGAACTGATCTGAGAGTGGCAAATCAATGTCCTTCATCAAGGTTTTTGAGATCATAATTACTGCCATCGTGCTTATCTACTATGCCATTAATTAACGGTAAATACTTCCCTGTTTATTTCAAATTCATATCCGAAGTGTACACTGTTAGTTTCGCACTTGGATGTGTTTCAGAGACAAATATCTCGTCCATATTGAAATAGGTGTAAGAATGAAGAACTACAGTATATAACCAGTATTAAAGTCTATAATGTTGGCCTAACTGCAAAAGGATTGTCAAATTAAGCGATATTAAACCAAAATATAAGTAGGCTCTATGTTTAAATATCAGCAAAATGTTTAAAGCTGTTTGTTTTATACTTTGACCGAAGGGGCGGTTTGCAACAAGTTCTACTGACTTCTTTTTACCTGAACAGGTTCTGTACAAACTGGAAATTTATTACTAGCGCTTGTTGAAATTACGACCCAGTGCACTGATGTTGTCATTTTATCCTAGAAGAAAGTTACAAGCTCCTCCCCCTCATCTCGTTTGTGTTCCTGTGATCACTAATGACTATAAACACGGTTTCAAAGATGTTATGATTTATCGGTAAATGGAATTCTCCTTTTAAAACTATTGCAGCGGACAGTTACTGGGGTTTATTTAACCGATGTTTCCTACACAAATTGGAGTGGAACAGTTCAGTTTTTGCATGTGCATGGAAAATGATTTGGAAAAGTTTTTTCCCATGAAAAGAATGAATGTTTGTCACTTTACACTTACACAATCCATTTTAAACGCAGTCCAAAGCTCACACATTTAAATGAGTAGACTTAATTTTCAAAATACCGCAAATTTTACATTTCCTGAAGCCGCGGTTGACTGATTGTATGGAATCTCTCGACAAAACAAGTCCACACAGTGTAGGGTTCGATGGCATTGTGTGGGTGGGTGTGTGCGTGTGTTAGATGGCATGGGTTAATCTCTTACAAAGGAGCATGAACTATTGAATTATGTCTCTTCATGTACACTGTTAAAAAAATGTCTGTTATATAAAAGTAGATTGGCATGACAGACGTTGCTGTTTTGGGACAGCACATTCTACTGTTAATTCGCAATAACAGGGAACACGAGAAAAATGGCGAAACCAGCTTTATGAAAGTGGTTTATTGCACCAAAGTCAATATGCAAATTTGTGTTAATTCCTGTTACAGAGGAAAATTGACCATTTACAAAGCTTTTTGCATGGTTCTGTTGTAACGCAAAAACATCACTGCAGAGTCACAATGGTCTTCCGTTACAAATATTCTCGCATTGTAGCACAACATAATTTTTAACAGGGAGTAACTTCAAGCTGACGTTTACCCAGCTTGCTCTAAAAAAAGGAGGATTCACAAGATAAGTGAACCGAGGGTGACATTCTGCAATGATGCCCAATCAACTAAGCTTGGAATACTTAATGGGTCTTGTACTTGAAGAAAGATTGACTGTCTTTTTCAAAGTTTTCCAAGCAGTGGAAAGCACAGACACTTCTTCAAGAGCGAAAGCGAAGTGAAATTCTCGTGACAGCTTACCAATGGGCTTGTAATTTGCAGTTTACAGTAATAACTTCCACTAAGCCGACAAAGCTGAAAAGCCACTAACAACAAAGGGATCTTTCCATCTGGATCCCCTCACATCAGATGAGGCATTGACGTTATTGATTGAGACCGACATGATCAAGTTTTTCCATCAGCTTAAAACTTTGCAGAAAGACGCATGCATCTGTCAACCGTACAACGTGGTTAGAGAATCCAAACAACGATGCTATCATAAGAGCGATGCTGTCACGTTTCCACTTCAAAACTTACTAGACCAAACTGCTCTCCGAATGACTGAACAATCGGGAGCGACTGATTTTACTAAAGATCTAGTACGATGAAAGAGGGAAGGGGAGGGGGCAACTCGAGGGCAATGGTCCGTTCCAAATGGGGAATTTTTTTTAACAGAGCAGCACCTCGGGATACACCATTTCCCTTCTGTCGCGAAGCGGGGGAAAAGACCTCCAAATTATTCCCGCCCCTCAAAGCGGCCATAAATGTTACGTCAGAAATTTCCCAGAGTTTGGACCTCTACACCAATAAATTTGGAGCCCTCACAAAAAATAGGGTTCTGGATCCTACCTTTATCAGGTTCCAATTGACTTGTAAATGGTAGGGGTGTGCATTTGCGGGTATTTTTAGAACCGGGTACCCTTTTTTTGTTAACATCGGGTACCCGGGTACCCGGAAAAGAGATCGCTTAATAACAAATGGCATTGTGCGCGACCCGGTGGATCATGTGCCCGAAACACGGTTCTTTTTGGTACATAGGAAGCAAGCAGAACATTATTCTAACCGTCGGAGTTAATCTCTCCTACCTTTTTATCAAACGAAATTGTTACCTTCAGTTTGCAAATTTTATGTGGGTGTATGGAACAGAAAAACAAATCTTCACGGGGAACGTCAGAAAAGAGAACAGAGCTGCAAACCACTTACATGATATACGCATCTGCAAACGCTCAAAGGAATTGTCCCGGATGCTGCATGACCACGTACACGCGGAACGCATGTGGCGTGCACAAATGGTGAGCGCTGGTCGTGTGACGTGCGGACCAGATCAGTGCTATGTACGTCACGGGTTAAAAGGCTTAAAGTTTTATGTACAAAAATACCACCGTAACTCCAACAATGCCCACACCATTACATCCACTTATTTTGAAATTTCTGATTCCAAAAACTGCCACCAAAATGCTTCAAACGGTGTTGAAAGTATCGGAAGTCTATATAGGGTTAGGAGTCACCGAAAGTGCACTTCTTTTCTGTCGAGGACCAGCACGTTGCATAAATCAACGTAGCTGCAATTGTGTAATCCTGGCTTTCAAGACGCTGAAACTAACCTGATTGCAACGCGGGCCCAATTGTAGTCCCCTTCAGGCAGTCCAATCGCTGACACAGCAGCGGCCATGTGACCGTAAAAAGAAAGGTCATGTGACCACACATAAGGAAGCCCAAGTGAAAAAAAATAGCAGCGTTTCACGTTGTTAAATGACTAAGCGACACGAACGTTTTGCCACACGAAGGTACGTACCACGATGAAGTGGTTTAGTTTAATAAATACTTTTTCAGGATAACTCCATTCCCCTGAGGTTCAAATTGTCGAGATTTTAATGTATAAGTACTTCGACAAGTGACATTTGATTGGCCGACTGTATTATGACTCGCACCTGTCAACATTTCC